CCAATACATGTAGTGCTTCACCTTTTGTTAAATGTCAATCCTAGGATTGTCAAATTTGATTATTATTATTAAATATGAGGTGCAATACATTTATTTTAAATATACTATTGGTTCTATTTCCAATTATTAGGCGTGATGAGCTTTCAATAATTATTCTGATAGTAGTTGGCTGTGGTTTTTCTCTTTCAGATTTGAATATACAGTGTGTCCCAGGTAAAACGCACCATAGGGAAACGATAATGTATTTTACCCAAAGGATCCAGGAGGCTTTCAACGTACTACTACAATCTCTTTCTAACATCAGACAAGCGCAATAACGTCCTTTGAACGCTAACTTCAAATACATATCAAAGGTTTCCTTTGCCAAAAAATACATGAACGTTGTTTCCCGGTGGTGCGGTTAACCTTGGACACACAGTATAGGGTCTTTGATATAGTTGTATGGGTTAATGTCAAAACTGATTTTATTTTAGAAGAATACACAGAAATTTGAAATTATTCTTCATGATATTTTTTGCTTGCTTTGAAAGTACCAATAACTTTTCGATAATCTAAAATTTATTTATAGAAATCTGGAAAAATAATAAAATTAATTTTTTTATTGGAAGTTATCATTCTACATTATAATCAAGATAGCGTATTGCTATCAAACCACAAACAATCGAAACGTTATTGGTACTTTCAAAGCAAGCAAAAAATATCATGAAGAATAAATTTTTTTCATAAATCAATATTTAAAAAAAATTCCTTCTTGTATGCCCCATCGCTTTACACACTGTATCTCATAAACTAAGAATATTGTTTGCGTAGTGCATTATAAAGTTGTAGGGCAATACATTTGCTAAAATTTGGCTGGTAAAATTTTTAGATCCAATATTAACAGAAATACACCTGATCAAAGTTACACGAAGTTTCTCGATGTATGTAGTATGAAAAACAATTGCTGAAATACAAAGGTATTGGGGTCTTTAATTATTTATTACCATCATTTCGATGTTAATTATTTTAATCACCAATGTCTCATTTTAATGTAAGAAATGCATTTTAAGGAACCCTATCTCACACGAAAATCTTTTGCGTGCTATCATTGACAAAAGTAATGATCGACTAATAGGTCAATTCTGCAGCATATGTAACCAACATGCCTGTGTAGATCAGGCTTCGTCGGTTTCTTCAAGGAGGAGATACTTTATTTTGTTGGTTCACAATTTCCAACTTGCACAATATATTCAAATGTGGGTTGCGTAATGCGTATGCTGCAGGATTTACCTATTCGGCGATCATTACTTTTGTCAAAGACTGTACAAGTAAATCAGGTATTTTAAAACCAAGAATTAGTAATCAAGAATTAAAGTAGAAGTATAAAATTTATTACAAAAATGCATAAATTAAGAGCATAATTATATTTAATTAATGCATCAAGCTACAATAACCTTGGAGCGCTTTCAGGCTGCCAGACCTTCTTTGTTGTCATCACCATCAAAATGCAGTTTTCGCCTATGGCCGATTACTGTCCGCCAGATTAGTGGACACTTAGTTACTTTATTTTATAACGTATCTTAAATACATATTTTAATAGGTTTGAATGAGTAAGCTAAGCTGTTCTTTAACCGTTAGGATAGATAAAGTGATCACTTTAATCGTAAGGGTAGATAAAGTGAAACAAATGATTGTGCATTCTAATGACATCTGTCATTCTTATTTCAAATGCACGATATAAAATGACGTTCAAAACATATGACCATTTGTTTCTATGGAAACGATCACGACGGCAAACCTAAGCTTGCTATTTTGACGTCTCTAAATTAAATTTAGAATTGTCAGAAGCTTTACAATGATTTATATGGCGTCTGCTATAAAATAAAGTTTTGTATTATACACGACGATAAAGAGAAACTAACTAAAATATCATCCCTTTATCGTCTTGTATAATAAATAGCTATTATCAAAGTAACTTTCCCAGCTCTATCATGTGGCAAGTTTTAAGAATGAAAATGTACTACTACAGCTTGACATAGGTATTGATAAAGTGCATAAAAATACCCACCTTGTTTGGTAATCTTATACCTCCATTCAGAATGCAACTTCTGACTTCTCCCTTGGCTATCCATGCACAGCTGGATTTGCAAGTACGTTCTGAAATTTAAAGTCTATGCTGAAATCTCGGCCGGACAGCCAGCCAGCCAGCCATAACGAATATAATAGCGTATTTTTTTTTCAAAAATGCGCTAATAATTAAGTTCTTATACTGGTAGCGCTATCTAACGGTAAAATTATAGCACCTCCGAAATCCATTTTTAGTGAAAATTTGAAGTCTCTAGCTATTGTAATGGCTGAGATCTCAGCCGGACAGCCAACCAGCCAGCTATAACGAATATAATAGCGTATTTTTTTCCATAAATGCGCTAAAAACGGAAAACAGCTTGAAAATTTTGGGATTTTTGCCGCTTTCCAATTTAGCACATGGTCCTCGACGCGACGTTGAATAGACATCCTGCTATACCCCAAATAATCTGTAAAAACTCAATTAACTTTGGAATACTTTCCAGTTGCCCCCCTATTTTCCATTATATCAACTGAACTGTATAATAAAACCATTTTGAAATATAAATATCATACAGTATTCATAAAGAAATGCTGATAATCAAATAACGGGTGTCCCAAAATTAACGCAAGATTTGAATTTGCCGCCATTTGTGCGGTGAAGTGTTGGCAACCCTGAAAAAAAAGCAATTTGACAGCTAACAGTATAGGGTTATTAAAAATGGAGCGTTACACGATAGAACAACGTGTCTTCATTATTAAAGAATATTTCAAAAATAGTGAAAGCTTGGCGGCTGCAGTTCGAAAATTTCATACAAAATATGGTCGGGTGTTTTAACTTCGTCAACTGTGAAGAGATTAATTGAAAAATTCATGGAGACTGGATCCGTTGGAGACGCCAAACACACTGGTCGTCCAAAAACAAGCCGTTCGAATGTGAACACTATTCCGACCATATTTTGTATGAAATTTTCGAACTGCAGCCGCCAAGCTTTCACTATTTTTGAAATATTCTTTAATAATGAAGACACGTTGTTCTATCGTGTAACGCTCCATTTTTAATAACCCTATACTGTTAGCTGTCAAATTGCTTTTTTTTTCAGGGTTGCCAACACTTCACCGCACAAATGGCGGAAAATTCAAATCTTGCGTTCATTTTGGGACACCCGGGCCGTTAGTATGTACCGAAAATTGAAAAAATCGGCCACTGTTACAGGTTTCCGTTCCATAAATCTGATAAATCGATTTCCTTGATTGTTTTTTGTTTTATGGAACACAGTTCATCGAATTTGGTTATATCTGGTTGCAACCAATCTAACCACGATAAAAGCTTCGTTTTACCTGGTTAAAAACAATATGGTGGAAACGTCAAACAAATTCAAAGATCAGGAAATTAATATGACTTTTGGCAGTGGACATTTGGCATAAATGGGGATTTACGATAATTCAACCGTTCTAACCGGGTATCACCATAGAAACAATTGTCCCAATAATTGTAACCATAGCAAAATCTATCATTACACCAGTTGAATTATCGTAAACCCCCAATGATGTAAGACTGTCAAGAATTTGAAAAATTTTGTAGGTTAGATATTGGTTTGGCATGAATAATTAACAGAGGACCAAAAGTAAACGCAAGTAACCATCACCATGGTTCAATGCTTTTGATTTGCGGTACATACTATTAGTACGAAGAGTGCGGTCGCATATGCAACTGACAAATTTAAACAGACTTGCATGTCATGTTGCCTAGCAACGATTTCACAGGTACCTATATATATTCCTTAAAATACTTAAATGGAAAAAAAGCATTATACTCCGTTCAATAGTTATTGTCCCAGGTAGTAGGCCATGTTACGGTGATGAAATTCACCTAAAAACAAAATTCCACTACTACACCAGGACAATAACTATTGAAAAATTTGATTTGGTTCCCTAATAGTACTAAATTTATATTTACACATTTAATTACGACACTGTATACAGCAGATTGTAATTAAGATTATCCTACAGTCACTATTGGTCACTCATGTATAATCGTAGTCATGAATCTGTGCCTATATTGCAGTGATTTTTAATAACAGATGTTCCCTTTGTGCTCCTTAGCTTGCCTATACCCTCTTGCTCAGAGTGTTGCTTCGATTTCGTGCCGGTGTGTGTAAAATTCATTTTAGTGCTTTTTTCCTTGAAAAATGAATTTGATCCACCAGATGGCTTGAGATCTCAGCTCTTGAGTCACAAAGTTTTTTTTTTATTTAGAAGGTGTTAATATCTAGGGTGGACAAAAAGAAATAAATCTTGTTGGAAAATCCAGCACATCCAACTTTGTTCTTTAAAATATTACAAAAAAAATGGATCCGCATAAATGAAACTAATGCAAAGATCATGTCACAGGCTGTCACGTATGGGTTTAAACATTGGGTTTTTGAATGTACGAATCAAACATGTACATTTTTTGTAAATAGTCCACGGTTAAACCTCATAGATTTCAATGGTGAAGGTTGTATGAAAAATACGCTTTAGCCATTCGTTCATGTGTTATCAACAGGGGTGTATTCATATGTCCCTGTTTGTAGTTACTAAATTTATAAATTATAAGTTAGATGGCACCACATTCTATTTACACATAGATTTACCATTTATCATTAGAACATATCCAATTATGTGATAATCTTAATATTTATTGTAGTAGTGGTAGTAGTAAGTGTAAATATATTCGACTGATCTTTTGTTTATTTAGAACAATCCTCATAATGCTAGCACCACTGTAGATTTGAATAAATAACGCTTTTATGTAGTCGATTAGAATAGTGTGGTTGCAACTTTAAGCATTGTTTTAACAGACCATGGCAATCTGTTTCGCTTCTGTTTGCCTGTCTGCAATTATAAGACGTGCATATGGGACGCTACTAAATCAGTCGACGAAAGTATGTCAGAAGCTTTTGAGTCGAGCGAAGATTGCTTTATAACACGGATCGATTACTCAAAGCAGTCTTCTGACAAAACTTGTACAGACATTGTGTTCTCTCTAAGGTCAGGTCAGTGACCGAGCTTGTAACGCAAGCTTCAACACCACTTCAGTTTTTATCCTTTATTTCAGCAGTGTTGTTGACATCTTTACTGTGCACGTTGTCGCTTACTAATGCAAAAGCTAAGCAAAGCATCTGTGCTAGATGGCTTGATGTACATGCTTCTTTAGTCTGATATCAATCCTTTATAGGTGATCTGCCGACCTACATTACTCGTTTCCAATGGGACATAGCTAAGTATCCTACCAAACAATCTCTAAGGAACATCGCTGATATAATCAGCAAGCAAGTAGGTCAAATCGATGCTGATCTTAAAACGAAATCGACAGCGTATAATAATTTAAAGGGCAATTTGCAAAGTTTAGAAAAAAAGCAAACGTAAGTCGCCTTCTACATTTTGTCATCAATTAACCTTTAATGTCCAGGGGAAGTTTGTTGACTCGAAATTTAGCCGATCTGGTTAAGAAGGAGCATTTCATTTTGGATTCAGAGTATTTGACAACATTGCTCGTTATTGTACCCAAGTAAGTAAAGCTAGTGTTCAAGTACTGTAACGGTTAGTAAACATTTTAGGTCACAATTTCATGAGTGGCAGACTTTGTATGAAAAGTTAACCGATATGGTAGTTCCCCGCTCATCGGTGTTAATTACTCAAGATCAAGAATATGGGCTTTATACAGTGTCGTTATTTAAGAAAGTGGCCGATGAGTACAAGTTGCATGCACGTGAAAAGAAGTTTATTGTACGTGATTTTACTTATAATGAAGAAGAACTTGCCGCTGGTAAAAATGAAATAACAAAGCTGGTCACCGATAAGAAGAAACAGTTTGTAAGTCTTCAAATAAAAATATTGAAGTCATTTAATTGAAAAATATAATATATGCTTAGGGTTCAAAAATCACTAAATAATCAAGAAAAAATGAAATGAATTATAAGAAAAACTTAATTTGCATTAATTGATCTATTTGTAGGGTCCTTTAGTAAGATGGTTAAAAGTGAACTTTAGCGAATGCTTCTGCGCTTGGATACATGTAAAGGCATTAAGAGTTTTTGTAGAATCTGTCTTGAGGTAAAAGTTACAAGGTAGTTAATTTTCTTCTTATATAATCACTGCTTTAGGTACGGGCTCCCTGTAAATTTCCAAGCAATTCTGTTACATCCAAGTAAAAAAAGTGTTAAACGTCTAAGAGATGTACTCAATCAATTATATGGTCACTTAGACAGTAGCGCCCTTCAAGCTTCTTCAGGAGCCGATGTAAGTAATCATTGGGATAAAATGATTAATATTGACGATATAACTTTGCAGAGTGTAGATATTCCTGGGTTGGGCTTCGGACAGTCCGAATACTATCCTTATGTATATTACAAGATTAATATCGACATGATCGATACCAAGGTATAAGTTGAGTTTTAGTAGAACACTGTTTAATGTTTCACAGAATGTTTACTTTTAATAGATTGTTAATAATTATATTATAATTGTATGTAAATAATTATACATAGTAGGGCTTAAAGTGAAGTCCATATAATACTAGACTTTATTTATTACAAGTAACCCTTTAAGATCAACACCCTCCTATTCCTACGGAGTAAATAGAAAGGTGACACGTACAATACACTACACGGAAAGATTGATATGCTGTATAGATGACATCAAATATTACCAACAAGGCAGCTCTTAAAGGGTTACAAAAAATTTTTACAGATAGGACAATAAATTAACGCCCTACTCTACAATGTAAGCATTACTTGGGCAACAAAGTGTCTATATATAATCTTTGTCAAAAATAAATAGTTATTCTCTAAAGACCTTACTTTAGTGTATAAAGTAAATTTCATTAGTTGCAGTATTATTTTAATTTAGTTTATTTGTGGTGATAGGGATGCTTTGTTGTCTTCTTTTATATAAACATGTGTAATGTAGCGTTTCGCTTCTAATTGCTAGAAGTTATTACTGTGAGTATGCCATTCCAGCTTTTACATTAACAAATTGCACAAAGATTGTTGTTATATATCATAAAATTGTATAGGAAAAATATATTGGAAAGTTGGTGGAATGACACTATACTCATTTCAAATATCGGAAATACCTGGCAAGAATTTATTCTGTTGTATTATATTCGTACTTAAATTATAATACATTTTGATAGGAAGTGTCATATAAACCGCCAGAAAATCTGGATTTCTGATAGAAGTTCAGGAGAAGTATTTTCCTTGTACATAGAAATAATCTATTTTAAGTGTAAATATAATGTAAACAGTTAAGTAGTTTTATGAAATAATTCTCATCATTTCCTGTATGTAGTTGTTTTTTAGATGATTGTTATGAAATCTTAATAATGTTTCTTGATTATAAGAAAATAAATGGCTATTAAGATGGTATCCATTTGTGCAATGAAATACCAAATTTCAAAACCTTTGGCATTGACTAATTCCCTACCTTAGTCAATGCCTTTGCCCTTTGGTCAATATTAAAATAAATTGATTTTTTCTTCAAACGTAAAAATATCAGGTGCGTTCACCAGACCAAAGATCATGATCTTTGACTAGATGAAGCGCTTCATGAGCGCTACCTAAAGGAGGAAATAATCCACTGACCTCAAAGTGGCATACTCTAGCAAGATTTCTCGCGCGAGTTACGGTCTAATAGCACTAGAGGTGTAAATATCACTATGTCCGACTTACAGTGGTATGTATGCACCTACACCACGACTCGGACAGCAACTCGCGCTGGAAATCTTACTAGAGTATTCCCGCCTTTAGGTAGCAGCATAGAACTCATTATGCGGTTCGTCTGAGTAGTAGGTGTCGAAGTTTGACATTATCGCTACAGATACGTATATCTGTGTTATCGCTAAAGCAGATTTTAAGGTGTATTAATGCTCACTAATATAATAGCATCTTTTTCCACCATGTGTACTAGTCTTGACAGATGTCATTCTTGTATAAATTCACGGCAACAAATCAACAGTTGGTTTCTGCCCGGTACCTTTGCACATCGTAATACGCAGTAATAAGACCCGTAAGTCTGTCGCGATTTTATCACACTTTTGATCTACAATTTTTTTCCGTTGCAATCACGGACTTCTTCAAAAAAATAAAAGGTCCATGGTTGCAACAGAACTTTCTTGTAAAAATAAAATTACTCGATTAAAAATCAAGCTCTTGTGCATTATTTACCCCCGAATAGGTCGACACCTAACTATTCATGAAAAGGAAAACAAACTTATCTATCTACTTGAAAATGGCGTTATTAAAATAAATGTTTTGGGTAACTTTGCCGCAGAAGTTGAAAGAAAAATAGCATATTTATAGTCAGAAAGACAGTTGGGAAAATTGTGTATTTTTTCTACTATATCCAAATCTGTACCTAATTAAAAATGACGGGTTATTAAATTCTCTACAAAAGTCATAAGCATTATAACCAAAAGACTTTGAATAACTAAGATTCTTCAGTTATCTTCTTTCAAATACACCACCTTTTTACATCAGTAAAATTAACGCATGCGCACACATAGTGGAAGGGCTAGGGAACAATTCGTCTAACTCGTTTCCCACACACCTAGAAAATTTTTTAATGATTCTTTATGGCCGTGTCGATGGTGACTGTGCGAGACAATAAACAAATGATTAATGAAAATTGGTTTCAATCACTATCAGCCATGGAATTATTGCCATAAGAAATATAATACATTGTAAATTTCAAACAAGTGAACGCGACCTGTCTAAATAATTAATTAATATTAGATGTAGGACTGTCAGGCGTCACGCTTGGCCGTTAGGCGACACACAAAAATCCCTATTTTTACGGATGATCGATTAACCTTACAATCACATTATTTTGTACTTATATTTCAGCGAATAATGCTATGCGTAGCGTAGGTACCTACAACACGCCACAGCTTGTGTGGTGTGAAACTATGCTAGTGATGTACCAACTATGGGTACTCTTTGGATGTACTACGTTAGCGCCGTTAAAAGGCCTATACAGTATCTGAAAGGACAGTTTGTTTGTGCATGATGAATTTTGAAAGATGTGAATGTGAAGTCTCATTCTGTCAGCTATGGATAGAAATTATTTGTGTGTTACTTTATGAGTAAATTATGGAAAATCAGAGACTTGTCCGCATACGCATACGATTTAAAAAAAAATTATATCAGTATCAATAAATAGTTATTTATTACACAAGCCGATAAAGGGATGTAGTTAGTTTCCCTTTATCGTCCTGTATACACAAATCTTTATTTTATAGCAGAAGCCATAGAAATCATTATAGAAATAAAATGAAAATTCTGTAGGTACTTATTTCATTTAGATGTCCAAACTAGCAAGCTTATGTTCTCCCGTCGTTACCATGGAAACAAGATTGTATTCTGTTCTGAACTTCATTTTATATCGTGCTCCGCGTCCCATTTTAACTAAGATCTGATAGAAAAAAAGAACAAAATGGTTTGAAGTTTTTTTATTTCAGTAACGATTTAAGAAATTACAAAGCAAAATAGTAACCCCTCTTTTTTTAAAATGTGTACCGCTGTTTGATTTTAAGAACCTGACAGCCCTAATTAGACGTGACCTAAAATTTACACGGCCTTCTCTGAATGAAAATTTTTTTGCTCACATACCTCATTAAATAATAGTTATTTACATAAAAGTCCGGAAAATTACTGACGAGGGAATATTGAAGTGTGAGGCCCCAGAGTACTTTAATTTCCGAGTCGGGCAATGTCATTTTACTGACGAGTTTTGTATTAAATTTTACCCGAAATCGTATTTTAATATAAAATTTTGTTTTTAATTAATGTCAATCTGTCAGTGCTGACAGGAGTCATTATAGACATTTGGAAATGTCAAAAATGCGGCCGGTAAAGTGACGGTGCGGCCGGTAAAGTGACAAGCGGCATGAAACATAGTCTGCTCTGCCTCTGTCATGGAAACTAAAATTTCCTGACAGAAAGTAGGCATGAAAATGAAGGTAAATTAATTTACCCAAAATCGTCTTGAAATCTTCATTGTCATGTCTACTTTCTGTCAGGAAATTTTAGTTTCCATGACAGAGGCAGAGCAGACTATGTTTCCTGTTACTTTACCGGCTGCATCGTCACTTTACCGGCCGCATTTTTGACATTTCCAAATGTCTATAATGACTCCTGTCAACACTGACCTTATTCTGTGGCACTGACAGATTGACATTAATCAAAAGTGTTATATACAAATTGACATGTTATATTAAAATACGATTTCAGGTAAAATTTAATACAAAACTCGTCAGTAACATGGCATTACTTCTGAAATTAAAGTGGGCCTCGCTTTTCAATATTTCCTCGCCAGTAATGTGTGATTTTCCTGGCTTTTATGTAAATAACTATTATAGCCAAAAGGACTTTTCCAATCGTTTCCAAAATCTTCTCAGTTTTCAAGATTATTAGAGGAAATATTGATACACAATTTCAGTCAAACAGTTCGCGTTAATAGATTATAACTGAGTGTAATTATATACAATGTGGACAAAATAATAGCCATGCAATCGGTGTGGTTAGCGAGGTTCCAGCCACCTCACTGGTTGCCATTTTCTTTTTATTGTTTGATTGTAGGATTAATATACCTTGTCATGTCCATTTTTTTTTCTTTTTTGTATAATTTGATAATTAGTAATTATATCCATTTAACTTATTCTTTGTGAATCTCTATTGAGTTTAAGTTCTCTTTTTGAATATTTACAGTACACTTTTATTTTCATATATGTACAGTGTAAACACAAGTACATTGTCCTGTTATTGGAAAATATTCTGTTGGACAATACATGATTATTATTATTATTTCTTGCACACTGGATGTATTTGTGATATGCGGGAGCTTTAGTAACACTTTATTAAATACAGAAAGGAAGGCATGTAGAATAGTGACAAACAGGAAATGCCAAACCGCATGGTGACCCAAAAGTGTAAAAGAACTAATTAAAAGGAAGGAATAGGCATGGTAGACATACGTAAACAAGACGATTAACAATTACCAAAAGTACAAGCAACACCATAGACACGTTAAGGCAATCATACAAAATGCAAAGCAAATAATTTCTTTTTTTTTTTTAGAAACTGCCCCACTATCTGATTGGACAATTTTTTTTTTGACAGTAAATGTAATAAGATATAGACAAATTTTATTTATTTTCAAATATCAGTAATCAGTAATACTTAATCTGAAAACATGTAAAATTAAATAAGTAGAGAACGCAAATTGAGAAAATAAATATAAAGTTACAAAGGGGTATATATATTATTTGATGTTGAGCTCAACCTGCGCTTAACTATATAGATCATCTGGATCATCTTGGAAATTACCCTGATCGCCAGCAGTGATGGAAGGCGTTGGCTGACCACCGCTGCCGGTAGGAAAACGGAAGTTAGTTCCAAAACCTCGTGACTGCTGTAGAGTTTGTGCGAACATTTCATATTTACGTATGTCGTTGTCTGAAACAGAACGTCTAGCGAACCGCATCGCCTCCTCGAAATGTGCTCTTGTGATTTCCGGTACTGGATCTTCTTCATCGAGCTACAATAGAAATCATACATGTAATATTGACACTAAAAGATTGAACAAAGTTGTAAAGCCATCTGCTTTTCAATCGACAACATTGTTCACTTGTTTTATTTTATTTTAATGCCCAATGTACTCACATCCATTGCAGCACTGTTGGGGTTAGTAGCCCTTTCTCTTTCCCTGCGAATTTCGGATTCAATACTTTGGCGGATAGCAAGCTTACAAGCGCGCTGACAAATTTCTGTTAAATCAGCACCAGAAAAGCCATGGGTAACTCTAGCTATATAACCAAGGTCGACATCACGAGCGACTGGAGATTTCCGCAAATTTGACTTAAAGATAGCTTCGCGTGATTTCTCATCTGGCAGTGGAATATAAATCAGCTGATCTAAACGTCCTGGTCGCAGAATAGCTGGATCAATAATATCTGGAAAAAACGTTATTCATAATGCAGAAAGCACGAGACTGGATAGTTACCAGGTCTATTTGTCGCTCCAATGATGAAAACGTTTTTCTTTGCACCCATACCATCCATCTCCGTTAAGATTTGATTGATCACGCGATCCGCTGCACCACCTGCATCTCCTACGTTACCCCCTCTTGATTTGGCAATAGAATCTAACTCGTCAAAGAAAAGCACACAAGGAGAAGCAGATCTTGCCTTATCGAATATGTCACGAACGTTAGCTTCAGATTCACCAAACCACATTGTCAGCAATTCTGGACCTTTTACTGATATGAAATTTGCCTGGCATTCATTTGCTATAGCTTTAGCTAACAAAGTTTTACCGCAACCTGGTGGCCCATAAAACAACACACCACGCGATGGTTGCATACCAAATTTAAGAAATTTGTCTGGATGTTCAACGGGATATTGAACAAGCTCTTGTAACTCTTTCTTTACATTTTCCAATCCACCAATGTCATCCCATGTAACGTTAGGAACTTCTACCACGGTTTCTCTCAATGCGCTAGGACTGCTCTTTGTCATCGCATAACGGAAGTTCTCCATTGTGACGGCTAACGAGTTCAATACTGCAGCGTCAATTTGATCGTCCTCCAAATCGATTAAATCCATCTTCTCTCGGATCTGTTGAAGCGCAGATTCCGAACACAAAGAAGCAAGATCTGCACCGACATGACCGTGAGTTTCCGCGGCGATCTGCTCAAGATCCACATCGTCGGCCAGCTTCATATTTTTGGTATGAATACGTAGCACTTCTAAGCGGCCCGTCGCATCTGGGATGCCGATATCAATTTCTCTATCAAACCGTCCAAATCGACGTAAAGCTGGATCGATCGAATTGGGACGATTCGTGGCTGCCATTACAATCACATGCGAACTCTTTTTCATGCCATCCATCAGAGTTAAAAGTTGAGACACGATACGACGCTCCACTTCGCCGTGAGTTTTCTCACGCTTGGGCGCTATCGCATCCAATTCGTCGATGAATATGATAGCGGGCGAATTTTTATCAGCTTCTTCGAAAGCTTTGCGCAAATTGCTTTCGGATTCGCCCGCCAACTTGCTCATAATTTCGGGACCGTTAATTAAAAAGAAAAATGCCCCTGTTTCGTTCGCAACCGCTCTAGCGATTAAAGTTTTTCCTGTGCCGGGTGGACCGTACAGTAAGATACCGCGAGGTGGTTTCACACCAATTGCTTTGAACAGTGAAGGATGACGTAAAGGTAATTCCACCATTTCTTTAATTTGTGCTAATTGTTTTCTACAACCACCAATGTCGTCATAACCCACTGCGTTTAAGGCGTCTTCTTCCTCCTAATGTACAAATCCAATCATATCATTATCACATCATATTTGCAGAATGCAAGTGTACAGGGAGATTCCATAACGGTGAGAGACATAGTGTAGGTTAAATTTGTCTCCTTTTAAAATTAAAACGCATTTGAAATTTTTCAAAAATATCACCTCAATACTGAAATGTCAAATTTTGTATTCCATAACATAAACGATCAGAAATGGGCGGTTCCCGTTAGCACCTTCCATGGACACTTTTTTTTTCGAAGAACCTGAATCAGAATTTCCATAGGGCGCTAGATGTTGAAGCTGTACAAGCTACTATACTGTATTCATTTTAAGAACGTAGCGGTAATAAGCATTGTGATTGGTTAAAACACGAGTCAGTATTACGCTGAAACATAAAACGAGTCGCGACATTTGCAAGCTGTTAGTTTTTATTGTCAACTAAACTCTTGAAGTGTCATTAGCTGTTAATGTCAAAGATTTATTTCTGTTTGCAGTATTGGATATTTCTACTTTACAATAATTTGGTGCCGTTTTAAATTTTTCCTGTGTGTGCTTGTCTTCAAGCACAGCGCCATCTACTACCTTCTTATAATGAATGCAGTATACTTTTTTATGAGCGCCATATTGGATTTTTATGGAATGAGATAGAGAACAAAAAAAAATGTAATGACGTGTCACACTCTCTACTTTTACATAATTTACAATAAAATTTTCAAAGTCAGATGTTTTACATCCATTTCTCAACAAAATTAATTTCCTTTTACTTTGTTCCGTAAAAATCCAATATGGCGTCCATAAGAAAGTTCGAACCTGTAGCTTCTATACATCTAGCATGTTATGGAAACTCTGATAACACTTTCAGATCCTCCAAAAAAAGGGCCCATAGAAAGTGTTAACGGGAACCGCCCATTTCCCACCGATTAAGATAGAATGAAATCAAAATTTGATATTTCAGTTTTGCAAAATGTCAATTGCCTTTTAATCTTAAAAGGGGCAACAACTCTGTCCCCATTTAACCCACACTGTATCTCTCACCATTACGGAGACCACAATAGTAAACCACCCTACACAATACACTTGCACTAGGAATGGTAAAACACGAAATCTCCCCACACATTTTACCATTCCTGACCAAGCTACCCCATTGTGAGCTATAGCAACCAATTTCATCATGTCACACTTACACTAACAAAAGGTTACAGTCACATGACAACTACAAAATGAAATTACGGCCCAAGTTAGGCATAATTATGTTTCTTATTTTTCTCAAAGGTAGAATGATAAGAAATGAATACATTTGTTTTGATTCATGATTATAAGTATAACGAAATATCTCCAAGTAGCCATATTTGTAGAATGCCATACTTACTTCACGTTTAATTGGATCTCCATCGCAATGTATAACGGTGTCAGGTGCAACAATGCAGTAAGGCGCTGGATCGGTCTCCACTACTTTAAATTCTACAGCTCGCATACCACCGCGGACTATGAATATATCTTCTTTATGTATGGGACGATAAGCCTCCAAAAAGTATGGTCTTAAGTATACATCGAATAAATTTCTGAAGCAAAAATATATGTTAGGTCCCTTTATCCGTTTTGGTATTTGTGAGGGCGTGTTAAAACAAACTATCATACATTATTCTCCCAATATTCTCTGATAAACCCCAAGGGGTTCAACATTACCACATCATTGCACTTTATTAGATAGAAGAACCATTGTGCGTCACATTTAGCCACAATTACAAAAGATGGCTTCACTCCTCCAATATTGTGTGGAGAGAGTATTTTGATTAAACTATACTATACATATTAAACAAAATGTATCTGTTCAAATTTTGGCACTATTCTAAGTCTGAAGAAGCACTTTAAATAAGTAAGATATTTTTAAAAAAATGCGTAATTATCATTAATCATCATAGTCATTCAATTTCAAAACAATCGAAATCGTCTTCAGATCGCAAAGTATCTGTACTTTATAAGGATGAAATATATTACTTTTGTAATTTTGTGGACAGAGCGCAAGGAAAGCACGAGAAATTGTACGTTATGATTCATGCCAAAATGATCCAATATTTCAATTTGAAAGACTTCATTTAAAACTCGTGCCTGACTATGTTTCAAATTTGTAACAGATCGAGTCAGTAAATTCAGCAATAAGGTTTATGACGTACCTGCCAGATGTCACTTTATCTATAGTCCGTTTTTAAACTAAGAGGAGTGATTTAAATAGCTCCCGCGAAAAATCTGCATTGTGATTGGCTTATACGGCGCCGTTTTTACACAGACGCAATTTGAGGATCTTGACAATTCAGTTGACATCTTTATTCGCTGTGTCATTTACAATTGTGTTATTCGTATTTTTTTAATTTTACCTTTTTCGCGTGTTTTAACTCTTGTTCAAATTTCAATTAAACAGTCAGTTCTTATTAGAACTAAACCGGGTACCTGTACTTGATTTTGTTGGTGCAAATACTTCGAAATATGGATTCCACGCCAAGTACAAGTAAAGCGAACATTTCACCTGTAAAAAAGCGTACGCGTCTTAATTTGGGGCATTTATCGATCTCAGAAAAGCAGTGCATACTGGACTGTTTGAAGTGGAAGTGTTTGAAGAATGGTTTGCATCTTTCTTAGTGAAAATTCCTGAAAATGTTGTAACTTTACAATATATTGTAGCTAGCACCTTTTGATTTTATAAAATGATTGCATTTATGTCTACATAATAATTAAAATTTCTTGTCAACCAAATTGTGTAGGGTAAAGTATTAAAAAGCCATAAAAATGATCAACACTGCATTTTTTATAATGTATGCCTTATGTAGTAGGCAACCCATAATGCACATGTGTACGTATGTAACATACTTAAAACAATTGCCCAAAAGTTACTAAATTTAGTAACTTTTTCGGATGTAAATCAGACTTTTCAATTTACTCCTCTTAGTTTAAAAACAGAGTATAGATACCTTTCATCAAATTTTGCAGTAGTTCGCCAAACACAATGATTTTCAAATCCATAAATTTACACAATTTCAACCTTTTCCCTTAAAGCATAAACCGTTTTTTGTTAAGTTACTGGTCACACTTACAGTGACTTTATAGAGACAGTGGCGACAACAGGGTATCTCGTTTTTGATTGGTCGTTGGTGCTGGTTCCCATATTGGAGCTAAATTCTAAACTGACCAATAGAAAGCCTCCAAAACGACGCGGTTCACTCCGTGCTATAATTATTAATTATACTGTTTTGACAGTGTCACCTGTAATTGTCACGGCTTCACGTTACTAGTTTACACTTTGCTTCTTGTATTTGCTTTATTTTACGTTTTCCGTGTCCAGTTTTATATAAACTCGTTTTTTAAAGACGCATATAGCCGACCATATAGCTTGGATTTACGATATTATAAGGTATGTAATTCGCTTCAATTGTTTTTAGATGTAAAATTGTGCCTAACCTTACGACTGGTAATTGATGTAAAATTTTTTTCAGAAGCCCTAAATACCTAATGAGTTTAGATAGAAAACTGGTTAGAGAAGCAGCTTATCCGAAATTTAGCAGCAAATTCAATTATGGTTATACGCTTGAATTGATTTAACGTTTAACATTGATGATTACTGAAGCACAAGGAAAATTGATCTCTTGTACTCCGTGGGCTAAATCAACGTGTTTTGTCTTACATTTAAGGGGCTAAAATAATACTTTTTATCCCGAAAGGAGAAACACGCGACGAGGAACAAGAAGTGACAGAATACACTGAAATGGCAAACACAATTTAATGATTAATATGGTTACCTTTATATGTACATTTTGGATATTGCACCATATTTTATACTTATTATACCGTTTTCCATATATCTTTTTGAATTTGGGAGGCAGTGGTTTGCCCATAGGTTGTTCTGCAAAGCTTTCTGCGCCGTTAGTTGTGAACGAGATTCTTTACTTAAAAACTGACATTCTACGGTCACAATTTGACATGAAAAGGTATATTGATCCTACAATCAATTTTTTAGCTCCAATATGGCGGATTGTGATAAGTTGTCGCCACTGTCTTTATAAAGTCACTGTAGTCACACTAACGTCACTGAATAGCAAATCCACGGCAAACCAGAAAAATGAATTCAATAAATAAGTAAAGCTAACACCCATGGACAAAGGTGAAGAGGGGCGAGTCATTTTTTTTAAATAAAAAATTGTCCCCCTCAATAACATTGTCCACTGTTTCGTGATTTCTTTAGAAGATACACAAATATCGAGCTATTGGGGGTGGAAGTTTTGAATTGAACAACCTGTATGTATACAGTAGAGCCTCGGTAATTCGAGTTCGATGGGACTGAAGGTATCTTGGATAGTGAAAATCTCGTATTATATGGAAGCTTTAAAGAAAAATCTCAGGTAGGGGTTAGGCGTTAGGAAAACTACGGTAGGTATGTATTGTTTATAGTTGACTTAAAAACCATTAACATTTTATTGAATTAAATACGTATGCACAAACTGCACGTTAAAAAATAAATAGGACTCAAACGGATACAAACCCAACCAAGGTTGCAGTTTTCTATAGCACAAAAAAAATTGAATATGCCTTCTTGGATAGAAAGTAAAACAGTAGATCCCGTTTCAAACGGTAGATCCCGTTTCATACAATGTTTGGTACGTTAAAAATCCCTTACTGTGGGTGGAACTCCTATAGTAAGAGTAGTTCTAATAACCATAGCAGTTGATGACAATATACAGTGTGTCCCAAATCGGGTGGGATTGCATGGGTAACTTTGTCATTATTAAAGATAGAGAATTCGTTAAATGGGCAATGTTTTGCAGTTTTGGATGTTTATTTAAAATTTCCTTATGGAAATTCAAAATGTCGCATAGGTTCGACGTAAATTAAAAAAAACTAAAATTGGTCATTTCCTTGAATGTCTTATATCATCGAAAGTATAAGAGGTATAAAAAAAAGTTTCATATAAAAGTGACCATCTTTGATACGATTAATTTAGAATTGATGTCAAAAAAAAATTCAAGATGGCTACTTTTGAGGAACATTTACCAACTTCCTAAAGTTAAATGGGCGCCATATTGGATTTTTAGATTACTTGATAGATTTTTAAATTCTCTTTTCAACGAGCTATTATAACATAAGATTGAAAATAAGATACCAGTTATATTAACGGTTTTTGTATTTTAATCAAGTAGTCTGTGACGAATAAAAAAAAACAAAACAAAATCTATTCGAGGCAACAAAACAATGAAAGTAATTACACCAGATGTTTAAAATACTGGCCATTATTAGTGAAACACACTACAAGACAGTTTAGTTTAGGCAACGTGCTGCCATTGATGATTATTATTATTATTGTAGTGGTAGCTACTTCCACTTTACTTTTATTTTTTAATTAAGTACTTACTTTTATAATTTAATGTACTGTACATAATTCGTGAATTGTGACCTGAGCAGCCAGTTTGTTGGTAGGTACCATAAACTAACCCTTCCTTCGAAATATACATTGTCAAGGAAAATCCTTTAAGGAAGTTTATTGGAGAATTTGTAAATAATGGTGAGCAGTTAAAGATCCATCGAAGATTACCGGTGCAATTACATGACTTCCCTTTATGCCATAAAATACATTAATTTAAAAAAATATTCCTTGATTTCAGCGTGAAACTACAACATGTAGGTTTTCCTGTGACGAGTAGGTAGTGTTCATAATGGCGATTTGAACACTTCACAGTTAGAAAAATAAGATTCATCTGTCCATATACTCGGACCAGTAAAACTGTTAGTTTCGATATTCTTGCGGATAAACCACCTACAAAATGTGACCTGGGACAATGCATCAATGGTAATACATTGTGTAAAATAAAGCGAAGTGTCTTGAAATGTCTTTAACTGGATAATGGCAGGACTTTTTTCGAGGGGATAGTTTGTAGTTATACCACCATTTGTAGGTATGTAAGTATGGATAATAAATCAATAAGTGATGTTATAAAAATCAAATTTTTCTAGACCTAATGCTTATATAAAATTTTGGAGGGAGTTGTAATGCCCAAACCCCCCCTCTCATGAGTGCGTCCCTGATACATCTGATGTAATTATTTTCATGGTTTTGTTGCCTTGAGTAGATTTTGTTTTGTTTTTTTTAATTCATCACAGCCTACTTAATTAAAATATAAAAACCGTTGATATAACTGGTATCTTATTTTCAATCTTATGTTATGATGGCTCGTTGAAAAGAGAATTAAAAAATCTATCAAGTAATCTAAAAATCCCATATGGCGCCTATTTAACTTTAGGAAGTTGGTAAATGTTCCTCAAAAGTAGCCATCTTGAATTTTTTTTTGACATGATTTCCTGTGAATAGGTACGTACTGACTTATTGAATACCAATTCCAGACACACGAGTAATCCTAATGTATTAACCCCTCAGTTTTGTTGGTCAAATTAGTCTTTACTTAGGCCTAAATTATCGAGAAATTCGAGACAAGTAGATATGCCAATTATATGGATCGAGATATTGATGTATTACAAGGTGACACAGGGAAACGGGCAGTTTTTAAACCGATAATACTCAGTTGATTGTAAAATCAATGTATGTTGAATTGAGATATCAGAATTGATTGCTTGCCATTTAAGAATAGATGAGACTGTGTCCAGGTAATGTCATTTTACGTGGATAACTCAAATCTATTACAAATTCTCCATCCCACATCACACATCTCTGCCAGAAGTAGCTGCCATTTTGTAGTGTATGGTTATAGGAGCAACTTGTGAGGTACTCCCAACATTGGTCACCCTGTATAAAATTACTGCTAATCCTTCTTTTTTCAATATTGTAAAAAATAAGTGATATCTTGTATAAACCGATAAATTAAAGTATGTTTACCACGATATCACAATTGTAGCAACTTGTACATTTAATTTTAAACATACTGTCACAGTTTCAATGATTCAGTTAATCCACTTTCAGAATACTAATGCAATTTTCAATAGGCGAATGGCAGAGACTCACTTACCAACCACCTCTTCTTCCATTCAAGCTATAAAAACCTCATTTCATTGAAACAAAATGGCTGACCAAATTCAAAATAAGTGAAGTTGCACCATTCTCAAATGTTTCATACCCTAGCACATTACATTACAAAAAAAATAACTTACAATGATTTGTTTGACATTATTATGTAGTGATCCATACTATTAAACAATAATAAAAATACAAAAACATTGCCATAAAATTCTCTGCGACCCAATTTTTTGAAGCACATTTAGGTACACCTGTACATACAGGGTGTTTTTTTGGGAAATTTAGTGAAACGTTTTTGGGAAAGTGAAATAGGTACTTGTGTGAATGTTGCATAATTTTGATCCAGCACATTATACGCTAGCTCACAAATTATGAGAGGCGGGAGAAGGGGAACATCTCATTAAAGATTTTGACATAAATGGTCTTCATTGGAAAGAGCTCTTTTCGTGTAATCAGATTTTACATACAATAAAGCCTTTTTAGTAAATGCGATGAGTGGTAGAGGGCGCGGTTTGACATTAACATAACCTTTGCAGGTTTTCTTGAAAACTTCAAATGGAACAATATAATTATATGATATTACCAAATAAGATGAAAATGTGAAAATATCAGTAAAACCGCATTTGGATATCTGTTTCCCAAACATTAACAAATATAAATATAAATGAAAGAATAATTATGACGAACGTATGCGTGGCAGTGTGTTTTCAAAGCAACTTAGATGAATATTGCAATTTAAATTTGTGAGTGTGCCAATTTTCTTAAAATGACACATAGTTCAGGTAAAATTGACCGAACAAGGATTACCTGGAGGACAATACCATTAAAGTCACAAAAAAAGTTTAAAGAAAAAAATTATTTCTCTGCTACGGAAAGGTTAAGAAAGTGGATAAAGTCCACTCTATTTCAATGTGGTGGAGACACTTTAGTGATTTCAGGTCAGTGTACGTCGTGCTATGCACACAATCTGATGAGTGGCACTTGCAATGTACAACTCTATTAACTATGGGACATGACTCATACAAAGGATACGCAAAAACTCCAACGAGAATTCTAGAAACAAATGAACCTAATTCAAGAGTTCTAAGATACCTAACAAACTTGGCTCCCCTTCAAAACAAAACTGAGGTTTTCACTAGGTACCTAGTTGAGTAATTTTTCTTTGTTCTGTGTTTTTGCTTAACAGCAAGCATATTGAAAATTTAAAAAAATAAAACATTTTAGAATTTTATGCTGATGCCATAAAAAACCAAAATACAACAAAAGGCATAGTTAGACCGGAAGTTAGACCGTACCAAGTTTTTGTCTACCGTTATTCAGGTTATAGTTGAAATCTATTCTTATATCTCAACAAATATTTTTGTAGTTGTTTATAGTGCAAAGTACAAGACAGAAACTTTATGAATTAAGATGTTTGCGAGCAATGAATTTTTGATAAATTGAAATCCACTTCGTAAGTTCACCTTTACACATACATATTACAGTTTTAGCTTGTACAAAAAGAAAAGAAATTACCCCGTTAAACCTTCCACGGTGTCATCAATTGGAAGCACGTGAATCCTTTTCCCGTACTTGACATCGGGACACGGCTGCACCGAAACAACATCCGATAAACGAACTCGCAAGTTGTTACGAACGATTCTATTCATTCGAATTTTTTCGTTCGGACAACTGTCATCGGAGAGGACGATGCAGACGGTCTCCTTTCGCCGTTTTCCTTTCAAAAGGACGGTATCACCACGGAAAAGTTGCAACTCATCCATTTTCGCCTGCGATAGAGCCACGACGGAATTATCATCGTTGACTGCTTCTTCGACTAAAAGACGATTGGGGCGATCTTTACGACGTAAGATCGCAGTCGCTAAATCGTCGGGGCTAAAAATCAAATTGTCATCACGCCGCGCCGGTTATGGGAAATAGAAATCCTCACCTTTTACCTTCCGCCATTTTATTCGATAATTAAACTAAAATTAAACTAGCACTTGTGCTGTACTATTTCTGTAATAACTTTCGCACAAATGCTGTATCACACACAGAATAATCGTTAAATATTACAGAGCTACAATGACGTTGCCACTTTCAGACGAATTGACAGTCGACAGTAGCAAAATCATGCACCACGACAACCACCATTTATTACCCAAGCCAATCAAAATTTAACAAAGAGGTAAATTTATGCGTAACTGATTATTCAACGTGCATCTTTTTCTAACTACACAAATTTGTTATAATTTCTTTCTTTAAACTGTCAATATTACTAACACACAATTTGTATTTGACAGAAACTTACACAGAGCATGCGCACTTTATTACGGCCATTAAGTTTTAAAAAGAAGAGAGACCAAATTGTACTGAGGGCGTGGATAGGACTTGAAAATGAATTTCCCAATACAAGAATACAAAAAGCAGCTGAAGAAGAGCCTTAAAAAATTAATAGCTGTCGAATCACCTTTGGAATTCTTGAAATCGTACGTAACTTGAACTTCGAAAAGCGACTCGACCGCCACTCATTTTTGATCGCCCTTTATATTGCATTAGATTCAGCGCCGGACTAAGGAACAGACGGACCGAAAGAGGGCACCAAACTTGATTTCATGTTACCACTGTAAGCAATAAGCATGCCCCACTGAGTGGGATAAAATAGCTATTTAAAAACTCACTTCGAGCTTTGAATGCTAGCAACGCGAACGCTTGAACCGTATTAAGCAGTTTTAAATGGAATACCCTGTATATATTTACTCATTTTTGAAACTCGAAAAAAAAGAAAATTCTAAAATTCTGGATATGCATTGAGGATGCAGTAATATGCATTGGAGTAACTGTTAATTAATTCAGGGGTTTCATCAAAACGAACGACCAATTGTAATTCTGATAAAATTGCAAGAACACGTCTATTAGATAACTAGAAGTTAAGTAACAGATTTATCTTAGTTTTAACATTTACCGCACCCCAGCTACACCACCTTATAAGGCCATACAATACATTTTACAAAAATACACACAATCACATTTAGGTCGTCGCTGGTTATGAAAAAGACAAATACAGTTTAAATAAATTTGACAAATTTCACGTTTCACGTCAACCACATTCCCTTTGACGGTACCACTTCCGGGGTCCAGTTCACCCACAATTCGCGTTGGGAGATTTGACATCACCATCAGGGGGATCGTTACGGGGGCTACCACATTCCCTTTATTGGCTTTATTGGTACCCACCTCCGACGCCCCGTTACACCCCAAATTCGCGTTTGAAGTTTTCACTCCACCATCAGTTAAATCTTGTCGGAGGCTACCACATTTCCTTTTTCGGTGCACACCTATATTACACCCACATTTTGGTGGATTTCGCTTAAAACATTCCACAAGATAGTTAGTCCCAATATTTATAAAATACAATGATAGTACCTACTTAATTTTTGGGGCACTTCTCATTGTTCGAGAGACACGAGAAAGAGACGCGATTCGAGATTTACAAAATTCGCAACAGAAGGTAAAAGGCGCCTGAAGTTGACTATCTCTCGAAGACACGCGAGCCTCGCAAAAGGTCGTTAATTTCGCCACTGGGACAAAAAACAAAATTCCACCGCGCAGGAGTTGTGCGCGTTTACAACATCTTTCCGACGACACCAATTTGAAAAGAATCGGACCAAAACTGTAGTAGAAAATAGAAACAAACTGAAAAACCTTCAAGTTAGTAAACTACGCTCGAGGATGGCGCCCAGATGTCGCCAACCCCACATCATGTAGCCCTGTCCCTCAGGTTGACAAATTACACGGCCTTGTAGATACACGTACACCCGTTGCGTTTCTACAAGAGTTCTTCTACGCGCCCACATTTGCTGCCAGCCAACCAGCCAGCCAGCCAGTCAAAGTGAAATTAAAAGCTACCTTTTACAAATACATTTGCAAAAATGCACTAAAAAATGGTGGCCACGTGGTACAAAATCTCAATTGATGTTTGTCTTTTACTTTGTCGTTTGTTTTTATGACGCTGATATGGTTCTGTTTATTATGTCATCTTTATTTAACTTTGTATTCATTAAAGTAAATAGGATTCTTTTCATATTTAATGATATAAATTACAATGGACAACGAATGATACCTACCAAATAACAATTAAGGCCGCCTAAGAAAATTATGCACAACGGTCACAATTTCAGAAAAACTAAAATACAACGAAAATGATAACAGATTTAAGTATAACGAATGTAACACAATTGATTGATGTAGAATGTGCAAAAAGATAAAGCAGGGGGGTTCATTTGCAAAAATGTAACTTACTTTTTAAGGTTTAAGTTTATTAAAATTTCCCGACCATTAGTTTTAAACACCCTGTTTCTAGACTAGATTGTCCAATTATTATTTTATTCTGTTATATGGGCTTGACCTTGTGTCTGGAGCGCTCTAGAGAATTGTATGTCAATGAAATGTTCGAATGCAGGAAGGAGAGAGAAAATTGATAACCTTTAAAAATGTTTTTATTGGATAATCGCGACGTGTGTTAGTGTTTGTCATTTGTTTTAATTGTTAAATAATGGGCATGCTTGTTATATTCTGTTAATGTATTGTGTATGTTTTCATCTACGCAACAACCATAGTAAGTATCTCTAGTTTCAAACGGCCTTCTGTACCTAATTCAAAGTTTCCAAATGCCTATAAACAGTAATGTAAAATTTTATTATTTTAAAATTAATTTTAAATGTAGGTAGTTTAGTTTGAAGTCGGTCCATTAAATTTTCTAATTGGATTGCTGCTGACTCAACATTAAAATTTTATCTAACATGTAACACCTACTTCATATAAATTCTGTAGCTTTCAGTAATACTACGAGGTAAATAACACTTGAGAACAGGACAACAGGTTCTATTCTTGAATGTCACAATCAGAAATATTTACCTACTCTATAATTATAGGTAAACTATCTTGATTAAAGAAAGAATGAATTTATATTTTTAGGTTTATTGAAATCTGAAAAAACTTATTTAAAACTAATCTAGTCATGTGTTATATTATAACTGTTGTGAATTATCACCATGATATGAATAATTTTACCTACTTATTTAACATTCTTGGCTTTGATTCAGAATAAGGAAGCAAGATGGCAATATATAGTACTGTTTGTTTTGACATTTGGATTGGACCAAGAACAATAATGGGAACAAATTCTAAATATGTAGATTGTGAGATAGAAAATGCAACAACTAACATAAAATGAATGGTTGTACTTTGTTCAGTTTTATGTCTCTGAAATATACAGGCGTTATTATTTTACAGCAAAGTTGTAAATACATTTTTTGTAGATTGCAAAATTCTGCGATTTTTAATGTGCCCATTTGTAATTTTTTGTTGTGGGAAATCAGAGAAAGTAAGGAAATTATAAATCTAATTTTTGTTTCAATAATTTCGCGGCATCACTCGTGCCATGAAGTTCTCTCTTTGGCTCTGCACCTATAAAAAAAACTATGAACTGGCTCATCGTCCACCAAGTCCGTTTCTGCAAGCAAAGTTCTTCCAATTTCCTGAACAGCAAAACAACTCCTGGTGTGGTTTATCAGCTCCAATCATTTTTGCAACTCATCTTGGGTGACCGTATCCACTCGCTTAGCTGATCCGCAGTGAAAATATTATACCAGGACAACCGCGTATGTCCTGGTCCTCCTTTTCTTGGACAAAGTTCTTCATTTTTTCCACTTTAACGGCAAACACAGCTTGTCAGTGGTTACTGTGCTACTAGAAAAGATCGCATGATACAATAAATACATTATATCATGAAAAGATCGTGTAAATACTTAAATTTTTTTGATCTGTCTTGGATAACCAAAGGACAGAATAATCATATTCAGATCTATGCGGGCTATAGACCAAAGGTCTCAGTGGAGGAACTGAGACCACCTCCTTGAATAAATAATAAATACTACATTTACAGCTTTTTCCTATCACGCTAGTTAAGTTATTCGTAAATAATCATGTGTAATTAAATTACGTTAAAGGTTCTTTTTCGACAGTTTCATTGACCATGACAATCAAATGATCAATCAGCTTATTTAATCTCATGTTAATTTATTGGATGTTAAAAATTTTCTGTGGCTAGCACAGATACCACCCGCGCATGTCCAAGAATATGTGTACCAAATTTGGTTCCAATTAGTTCAGCCGTTTAACCAGAAATGAGAGTTTGACACAGTTGCGCATGCGCGATTCAGCCCAGAAGCTTTTCAGCTCTTCTTTTTATGTCTAAGAATATGTGTACCAAATTTGGTTCTAATTGGTTCAGCTGCTTAGCTGGAACTGAGCGAGTATTATTTGACGAACCGACATCGAGATTTGTTTGATTCGGATTCCTGGTGCTACAAAACGTGTATTTCCGTGAAAAAAGTGGGGGGGTCGGATTTACAACAATGCAATGCTTACTCACGTGCGGGTGGTAAAAACATAGAATTTGCTGTCCATTTGCATCCATATTATGTACTTAATGTATTATTTAGGAATTTTTACCGTAAAGTTGATTGGTTAATTTTACCTAAAGCTACTATCTCTTTGTAGTGTTACCATCAAATTGCTTCTGACAGACAACATGAGAGAAAGATGGAAGACCAGTACATTGCAAGTGTCGATGTTGGAACATCGTTAATAAGGTGCCATATCTTAAACTGCAGAGGTCAAACCATATCGGCCGTTTCCCAAAAGGTGCTTAACTATTGTGAAGTGTACTTAGTGATTTTGTTATATTCATTTATAGGTAAATCTTCTTTATCCGCAACCTGGTTACGTCGAAATAGATCCAGAAGATCTATGGAACTCGGTGGTTTGCCTTATAAAAGCGGCAGTATTAGAAGCAAATGTTGGATATAATAAAATAACACTAGGGATATCTACACAACGCGGAACGTTTACCATTTGGAGGAAGGATAATGGTCAACCGTTCCATAATTTTATTACATGGAAAGATTTAAGATCTGATGCTTTAGTTAAGCAATGGGAGAAATCATTAATATTAAAGGTTCGATTTTTATTGCATTCAATTAATCTTTCTTATTTTCTATCCACTTGCAGGGTTTTCGAATGGGGTGTTATGGTATATATTTACTAACAGGGAATAAAAGATACTTAGCTGGCAGTAAAATGAAACTAGCTAATACTCAAGTAAGTAAAAGAATGTTTTTTAACGAATCTTGTTCCGATATACTGCAAGTATTTATTGCCTTGATCTATGTTTTAGGCAACCATGAGGTTGATATGGGCTTTAAAAAACGTTCCTAAATTAAAACAGGCGGTGGAAAATGGAAACGCAATGTTTGGAACTGTTGATACTTGGCTAGTTTATAAATTAACTGGTGGTAGGAAGCATGTAACGGATATTACTAATGTTAGTGCGACTGGACTTTTTGATCCATTTATTTTAAACTGGTCTTTAATGGCAACTCATATTTTACGTATTCCTTCCAGCATATTACCGAAAATTGTGAGCAACGATTATTCTTTTGGTTCTACAGTGCCATCAATTTTTGGAGTATCAATTCCCATTAAATGTGTGGTAAGTAAAGTGGTATGTGAAGTAGTATATATTTTATCTGAGGCCAGGCGCCTTACTTTCATCGTAAGGGTATTAAAAACGTGTCTGTTATGGAGCACTGGACGATGTTATAGCCACATAACAGCTGCTGCTAATTAGGTCATGTAAGTAGCGATTTGCAATCGTAATTATTCGGTGGACTTTCGTTGGCACGCTTACTCCTGCAATACCACTCTTTTATCACCATCCCAAAATTGTTCCGCATTGGGAACGCCTCTTTAAATTTTTCGCACCACTCCTAACAATGATTCGGTCTAAGAGGTGAAACCACTTCTTAGCCGTTCCCTCTAGCCTCGCCTGGCTCGCCAACACCTTGGAAGACCAGCAATTAATTTTCGCCAATATAACCATCCTGATAATCCAGCGGCCAATGGAAGCCTCCTCACCATCTGGGTCAAAATGACTCCACCAATCCTCCACATCTTCTTGGATGTACATACCTTGTTGCTGTCCTCCACCTCCATTCCCACACTCGCAACCCCCTCCACCGCCTGCGTTCGAGGTGTAGGAGTTGGGGCCAAGTTCCCTAAGACTACAGATAAAATTTTTTCACCAATGTTCCACGGCCGCCTCTTCCAGAATTTGCACTTGGATGATCGCCCGCTTCCATAGATAAAGCGTCATCATCCGACATGGTAACCCGCACGCACGCCTATAGAATGATGGAAATGAGTATTGTGCTATTTCCCTAATTACACGACTATTCCAATTCACCGTCAATAAACCACCTTTTAATTTTCGCTTTATTTTATTATCGCCAATAATTAATCGCCTTTACCAATTTAATTAATCACCAATCACTACGTAACCAAATTCGTAAAACTATCTATAATTCACCTAATAATAATTTTGCGTACGCCTCTGTATAATTTTACGCCAAAATTGCCTCCCACCGCAAAGGAGGTAATTAAAGTAGTACTTACGCCGTTTGCCGTTGATTCATTAATTAACTTCACCTTATTAATTTTCTTTTGAGTGAATAATTTCAATAACTCTGATGCCGAAAAGGGCCAGGAATCTCTATTGTCTTTCTTCAAACACCTTTATAAGAATGATAATCTTTAAAGATAAAGACATTTTAGACAAAGAAACACCTGAAAATTTTACCAACTTGAATACCTATCTTATCAAATTAAATAAAAGGATCAAGCCCACATAATTAAACCAAAACGAACCATCTGTCGCGTGATCGGCCTTTCTCATAAACAAAAAAAGTTGGCGAATTTCGGTTTTTTGAATATCTCAGAAAGTATTCGGAATTCCTTCACTTAAATAGCAGTAGATGCAACCCCAAAATGGGCAAATTTGCATCTTTTGAACCAACCGACTTCGTATATCTTATGATTTCTGAGAACCGATTATCTTGAATTTGGGACACCCTGTATATATGGACATACAGACATGAATTATGATCACTTAAGCAATAACTCGAGCATCACAAATGTTAATGATATATGCTCACATATTATTTATTGTACTGATTTGTTAAAATGGTTTTGTTTTTTTTTAGATATCAGATCAATCGGCTTCTATGTTTGGGTCTTGTTGCTATCAAATGGCAGATACCAAAATAACATTGGGCACTGGCACTTTCTTGGACGTTAATACCGGATCGTCTCCATTGGGATGCAACAATGGACTTTACCCCCTAGTGGGATGGAGTATAAACAATAAAATCACTTACTTTGTTGAAGGTGCTTCCAATGATACTGGCTCTCTGATTCAATGGGCATTGTCCGCAGGTGACTAGAGATTTGTATGATGTGATGGTGTTAATTTGATGTGTATTGCGGGATAGGGCAAGTTAAAATAAGTCGTACCACTCAATTAGAATCCCCTAGACTAGACTATAAACAATAAACACAATGTGTAATTCATCTATTTCAAATTCAACGTGACAAATTATTCTAGCAAACTGGAGAAGTCATTTACAAGTTTCAATTTAAGGGTGATTATTCTTAATTGAATACTGGCAATTTCAGTACACGTATGCTCTGAGTGGTGCGACATTTTCAATTCGGCAAAATAGCGTTATTTAATTACTATTATCATCGTATACCTTATCGACTGGTGTAATTAATATTAATAATTTTTTTATTCTCGTTTTAGGTATTATAGAAAATCCACATGACAGTGGTACACTTGCAAGTTCTGTGGAAAGCACCGATGGGGTTTATTTCATACCGGCGTTTAGTGGTTTAGGGGTTAGAACAAAATAATTATATATCTATATGGGGAGAGGCTTCAGTAAATACATGTGGTACAAATTTGCATGCTCAATTGTTCTACTTAATTAACAATTTCAGATGTATACTAATGTATTATCGCTTTTAGTTATTTTTCAAACTTGCAACATTTGATTTTTTGGTATGAAAAAGATTCCACTTCAAATGATAAAATTCTGTTAAAAATCTGTTAATATTATAATTTACAGGGTGTTCTTACTAAGATGCTTACTTCAGTATTTAGTTAGGGCCCACTAAACACAAAAAGGTTATTGCAAAGTTACAGTATGTTTTTAAATGGTTATGAGTTTAATAACAGCAAAATTGGTGTAAGTTTGTGGTACTAGCTATTTCTGCGCCCCGTTTAAATTACATGTGCAAAATTGACTTTTGCAACGTTCCTATAACTTTGGTTAATGTTACAGGTCTGCTAGTACTGTGCATATTAACAAAAGCAAGTTTGGTGAAGACTTACATACACATGTAACATGGGAATGAAAGAGTAAAATAAAAAATGGAGACGTACATCAAAAATGGGAATGAAAGTTTTCAAAATTTTGCTGCAAATATGTATGACTTACAATGTTTAGTGAGGGATTATGTTAAACTGGCAAGCTAGTACTACTCATTTTGTCAATTACATTGTTTAAAACGCATTAAAATTTAGTGTATATTTTTAGTGGGACACTCGGTAAATTGTTGCGTAAGTTAAAAATTCAAGTAATATTCATGCGTAAAAATTTTTCTCACAATATTACAATCATATTGATCGCAAAATTGCAAATGAGAAAAACGCCCTGTATGGTCATGCTTATACAAATAGCGTTTTGGAGAACGGATTTTACATCTCCCAATTGTTTTTTTTGCTATTGGGTTTTTTTAAGCGAAGCCACCCAGCTTGTATATAGTTTTGTAGGGTGCTTTTTATGACTTATTTTTATATAACGCCTTTCCAATTTGTTATATAAAAATGTACAAACCAGAAAGGTGTTACATTCAAAACTACAGGGTGAGTTGGGAAGATCCAAAAGTAATAGTATAGTGGCATCTAAACTGATGAAGTTGATAAAAGAAAACTAATTTTCTATACTATATTCTAAACAAATTATATGGCCATAAAGCACACATTTGATCAATATATTTTTTGAACTTGAAACTCTGCTAAATTACACATTATAACTATCCCCACTCATTTTATAATAGAACTTTTGAGCTTGAATGCATTTAAACAAGATTTACATGATCACAAAGTACCCGCTCTGTCGGGCACCGTGATGATTTCGAAAATGAATTTATAATTTATGACAAAAGACCATTTTATCTACCTCTGCAATGAAGATTTCCAAGTGCCCTATAACTTGAGAAAGCGATCTTTTAGCTCACTCTGTATATTTTTCCCTACAAACGTACCATTTATCAATTAAAATAATGTTTAATTGCTTACCAACAATGCATGTGTGCTTTGCAACAATTAATTACAATAACATTGATTATATCAGTGGCGAAAGTATGAACGCCATTTAATAGAAAATTATATTTCAGCCTCCTTTTATGGATGATAATGCTGCCTCTGGATACATAGGACTAAAGGTCACGAGTACAAAAAATCATATGATACGTGCTCTACTGGAAAGCATCGTTTATCGTGTAACGCTCCTCTACAAGATGATGTTAAAAGAAACAAATTTCAAGATACGGTCCATATGGTAATACGATATCCGGTTTCTTGATTAGACTGACACACACTTTTAGGGTTGATGGAGGAGTTTCAAATAACGACTTTGTGTGCCAACTACTTGCCAATATATTAGGAATCGAGGTACACAGACCTTCCAGCACAGAAATGACTGTATTGGGAGTTTCGTACATCACAGGTTTAAAAATTGGTTGGTACCTATTGTTTTTATTTGATGTGTCTTACATTAATTTCTGCACATAGGAATGTGGAAAAATGAGAGCAAACTAAAAAAGTTGAGAACCCTCAATTGTACCTTTAAACCGTCAAGGGACATCACAGTTTATGAAGAATGTGTTAAAGAATTTAATGTGTGGCTAAAAGCTGTCGACCGCTTCAAATTATGGTATACATAAAGTAATACTTGATGTTTTATTACTATGTTAATATTATTCGTTAAATATTTTTTATAATTATATTAAAATGTTAAATTATAAAACTTGATATTGTGATATTAAGAGGAAGCATCTGCTGCCTTCTTTGTTGGATGTATGGTGATTGCTAACTCAATCAAATAATAAATTTTATATTTTTTATCCATATAATGTATTGTCTGTGTCTCCATGCTGTTTTCGCGAGTTTGTTTAGGCATCATTTAGCTACCTTTTCATGAAAAAAATCGAACCAATGCATTTAATTTTTTTGAAAAAATAACCATTTCTGTCAGAATGTCGAAAAAAGCCCTCAAGCGGTGATATGTGAAACTAACAAAACTTCAAATAGTATAATATTTGTAGCTGAAGAATAGATCTTTTGAACTAACCTGAGTTTGTTTAAATCGGCTCAGCCGTTTCGAAGATACAGGGTGTTCTTTACGGAAACCTTTGAATACCCCCCACCACTTCATTTTTAGAGATACAAGAAAAATTTTCAAACAAAAAAGGTTCAGATTATTATCAACTTCAAAGACCGGACATTTTTTTGTTAGGTTAATATAGCGGAATTCATAGAAACATCACTTTTTTAGATTCCAGATTGCAGTTACGCCCCCTAGCGGCCATTGCAGAAACCTAAAAATATTTTCCAGGTTTTTCTCGTGGCCGTTTTAGTAATAAATTTTTTTACTGCAAGCCTCTACGATGGACAGGTTTCCAGATACAGTACCTCGCATTCTTATTTGGCCACCCTGTACACAGACGGACAGTATGTTTCGCTAATAATGGCCAGTATTTTAAACATGTTATGTAATTATTTTCATTGTTTGGTTGCCTCGAGTAGATTTTTTGTTTTTTCTTAAATTCACCATAGCCTACTTGATTAACATATAAAAACCGTTGATATAACTGGTATCTTATTTTCAATCTTATGCTATAATAGCTAAAGTTGGTTCATGTTCCTCAAAGGTAGGCATCTTGACTTTTTTTGGCATCAATTCTAAATTAGGCGTATCAAAGACAGTAACTTTAACTTTTTTTTATATCTCTTATACTTTCGACGATAGAGGACATTAAAGGAAATGACTAATTTTAGTTTTTTTGAATTTACGTCGAACCTATTCGACATTTTGAATTTCCACAAGGAAATTTTAAATAAGCATCTAAAACTGCAAAACATTGTCCATTTAACCAATTCTCTATCTTTAATAATAAGAAAGTTACCCATGCAATCCCACCCGACACACTGTATATCTAGGTACATTGTTCATTTAAACAGAATCAAATTTTCTCAAAAATGAATGACGATTTAAAAATTAATTTTTATTTTAAATGAAAGCAGTAGCGTAGTTTTTTTTCTCCAAAAATATTCAATGGAAAAGCCGTACGGACGTCACTGGTAGAGAAAATAAAAACTTTTGCACATCAGAAAATGCATCTTGATGCATAGAAGACATGTACCAAATTTCATAAAGATGTCTACAATATTATCTCTGTTATTATTAAAAAAAACTTGACCATCCTGTATCTCAAAAATTAAAACGTTTAGGACATACGTTCATAGAAAGTTTGGGTCAAGAATCGCTCCCTTAAAGATTAGCATATCTTTAAGGAACACCCTGTATAATCCGCCGAATCGTCCGTGTTCGCCCTAGTTAGTGTGGTGTCACACTATGCGTTTTTGTTTTTACCGCTCCCGCTAAAACGCTCCTGTTTGACGGGATGATAATATCACACGTTGTTAAATGGTACCAGTCACATATATGCGTTTTCGCCGCACCAACCGGATGCAACCGCATCCTGCTGCCGCTGCGCAGGATGACATGACAACCACAATGACATGAAACCACGTGTTGTTGCATGTTGGTTGTCATCAGTTGTCATACTGAGCGTTGCAACCGGGTGTTTTGTTAGGTTTACAATGTTTAATGTCGGTTTATTCATCGAGTGCGTGCATGCAAAAACTGCACTGTGGGAAAAACAATCTAAAGAGTATGTAGATAAAAACTGTAGGGAGAAATCATGGGTAGAAATTGAATTTTTGGGCATTCGATAATATACAAAAAATTTTTTCTTGTTCATTCGAATTTTTTCATAAAACTTCGCGAACCCTATTATTAGATTCTCGTCCTGAATTAAAAGGATCAATCCAATATTGACGATATATCTGCTTTCCCAATAACCCCTCCGCCTCAAGCGCACAAACCATCTTTAACAATAACAATAACAATAATTGAGACACTAGACTGCCAAAATATAGCAAAAAAGCATCCCGTTAGACCGGAATAGTGTGACAAGTAGATCTCATCCTGTCACACCGCATCCGTTTTAGCGGGAGCGGTAAAAACGCATAGTGTGACACCACACTTACGCTTCTACGTCAACACGGCCGACGGCCATGTAATTATTATTTTATTTCCATAAGAAATACATTATAAACTTCGAGGCAAAAATTCAAGGATGATTCCGAAATGAAAGACCAAGTGTTTAGTATTACTGGTTTTATAATTTTTATCAGAATTTCAATCAGAAAACTGATAAACAATTACTAATGGTCTGTTGATATCTATGAAATAGTTATTTATGTATTAAAGGCATAATAGTAATGTTTATATTCTCGAGGGCAACCAGTTAAAAAGCTCGAGAGCCTATGGCCCGAGAGCTTTTTAGTCGCCCGAGAGTATAAACATCAGTTTATGCCCGTGGTACATACGCAATTTTATGTCTTACTAATCTATCATAGCACATTTTATATCTGTGATACGCGGGCATAAACTACCCCTTTATGCCCTAGGGCATTAAGGATCACCATAGTAACTCATTTATACTTAATACAAAACAAACAAATATTTGCAGGTCATTGAAAATTAGACACGTCAATTTTTAATTGTCAATACCTACTAAATCACAAGATTGGCCTTATTTCGTATAGTTTCTGGAACTTCTTGCTCATTCATGATGAATTGAATTATTTAAAATTACGTTTGACGTTTGGATGGTTTCAATAACATTAACAAATTTGAACGCATACTCGATCAAACATAATGAATTATTTTGTAAACGAATTTTGACGAAGAAAAACTATTTGTAAAACATAAATAAATAAATGCCAACATATCTTCAAAAATGACATTTTTCGGTTTTTTAGTCATAACTTCGCTATGTGTAGAGCTACAAGAACCTTTGAATGGGACACTTAATCAGCGAAAATTTCTGCATAACTGCCCATTTAAACGACTTTGTATCTCTTACAATTTACGAGATCTCCATAGTGAAAATGAAAACCAACTCATCCTGTATATACAGGGTGGTGCCTCGCGCAACGCAGCATAGGGATTTCAATGGTAATTTCTTTATAGTGAATTACTAGCTCCCCAAATTATTTTCGAGCAAAAGTCTAAATTTTAGGGAAAAAAATACTGCATCTGTTCATACTATTAGTTATAATTTTCCATTTTTCAAAACCGTAGAAATCGAGAAAATAAAAAATTACATTTTTATAAATCAGTGATGCTTTGGAATTTTTCAACAAACTAGAAGAGCATCGCATCTAAGTTATCGTTGTTTGACGTCGACCGATTTTCATATTTAATTCTGTTTCAACTACCGACGCAATAAAAGGCATCTTAGGGTAATGTTTTTTTAGAGAATGTATGCTGCATCTGCATCTATTTGTTTATCATTTTCCGAACCAGAGTACCTACATAATCGAAGAAAAAAAAAAGATTTGAAGAAGATTTGTTCTTAAACTTATATTCGGATTTTCCGCTACTGCAGTCAAAACGTTGAATGTATTTTCGTTTTCCTGATGGTGACGGACATTATGAACGTTATTGCACTTGCAGTTCTTTAACTAATTCATAAACAAGTATAAATTTAATATACGTCAAAGGCAAATAATGAAACGTGGTCGCTATTTTTTTTACGTAATTCCAAGGCATATTTGATTTACTGTAAAATGAACCTTTTTATTTTGTCGATTTCTACGGTTTTGAAAAACGGAAAATTATAATTAATGGTATGAACAGATGCAGTATTTTTTTCTCTAAAAGAAACGTATTTAGAGTTTTGCTCTAAAATAATTTGGGGAGCTAGTAATTGACTATAAAGAAATTACCATTGAAATCCCTATGCTGCGTCGCGCTAGGCACCACCCGGTATGAATTGGAGGAGTAACCATTAATTATTGTTCCCTAAAAACTAATCTTAGATTATACAAAACTATTCATCACATTTTTATGATCCAGATTAATGACACATAACTTGCTAGTTGCAGCATTTACAAAGACCATTTGGACATGGCTAATTTCGAATAGGTGGTCGGCAACCTGCGGCTCACGAGCCGCATGCGGATCTTTTGATGTAAAGTTGGGGCTCTCTGTATATATCTAAAAAAATTAGTTCATTTTTTCGAAATTAATGAATCTTATTTTATTACGATATTGAAAGTACACTTGCAGCACATAATTACCTAATTTGTGACACTTGTTTGTCTTTTTTATTATCACAGTCTACTCCGATGTATAAACATGAAATTAATTAATAAGAAAAAAACTTGAATAACCTAAAAATTATGAAATTTAAGTACAGGACACCTCGTATAAAAATTGCAGACACAAAACACAATCGAATAGCGAAATAAAATAGTGGTAGTTAGTTAGACATGGTACTTTGAGGATGTTCTATTTAAAAAAATAATTTATTTATTGACACCGTAAAAATGGGATACCCTGTACATTCAAAAATAATTTCTGTAGATCGTCAACCATCTACACTTTATTCCGTATAACTTCCGTTGCACGTCATCATATTCTATGACGTAATTACTATGCAATAATGCCAAATCTAGTTTTGAGCGATTTAGGTTATGTCACTTGTCAACAAGACAGTGCATTCTTTGTGTGAACAATCCACACCTTAAATTTCGTTAATTGGAACCACAATATACATACAATATACTTTAATAACTTATGAACTGTACAAATGTAGCATCTCTTTTACAGAGAAAGTAGGTACTAAATATAAAATTTTACAGGTTATGTGATGTGATGGATGATATTCAAATTAATCGGAATCATCGGAACTGCTTTCGTGTTCAAAGTTTATAATAATAGTAGCAACGTTTTCAAGATCTAATTGCTTTTCTCTTTCGTACCACTCGTGTATTAACAGTTTCCGTATCCTTAACTGAATTGCGCCACGTTTCGGAAGTTATCGATTGTAGTGATTCTTGTCACATGTTTATGCAATTTTCAATGCTTCGTCCATCTCTACCAATGTGTCGATTGTAATAATTTTTCGCTATGCCCCAAATATGTTCGATAGGATTAAAAACACGATGATAGGGTGGTAATCCTAAAACGAAGTAACCGTATTGCTCGGCTAAGTGGTCAATGCCTTATGCGGTACATTTTAGCTGATTTATTCCTAAAAGTATCAACAAGATTTATATAACATCAAATAATTTGCGAACGTACTTACTGTGCAACCTTTTCAACAGTTCGGCTGTAAAATCATTTTCGGAGAACTGCACATTATGATCACCTAACCACACTTTAATGTTGTTTGTTTTCCCGTTATCGAACACAATTACTAACGGGTTATCTAAATTCTTCAGTAATTTCTCTTCAAACCAATGCACAGCGAAAGACGTAGAAAATAATCAAAATCAAATCAAACGAAAAGTAAACCAAAAGCAACCTGTCAAATTTACAAATTTAAACGCGACAACATAGCGAAATGCTACCAATTGTTGCGGCTAAAATAAACTACATGCTTAATGTGTTGCCTAATAAACGAAAGTAAGTTTACGTTGGTACGTCGTTTTCTTCAGGGAATGACGTGCAACGGAAGATATACTGAATAGACCGTATAGTTGACATTTGCACACAAGATTTTTTTAAAATCTTTTTTACCAGGTATAATCTAGGAAAGACGGACGCTCTGTTGCAGGACCCTGTATATGACCAAATACTATAGTATTGATTCGAAAATTTTTAGTGGCTCTTTAAAAATTGGGAAATTTTGCAAATTGTAACTTTTGGCTCTTCCTTTTCAATAGGTTGCCGACCCCTGGACTACCCTATAGCCTATAGGGTAGTATTTCTGAAAAAATGTGATGGCAGAAATATACATTCAGTAATCATTAAAAGCTTTATGCACTAAAATATAAATAAAATACCTACAATTGACATTCTCTACAACTTTATATCTATTTCTTAAAACTAATTAATGCAGGTACATATTTATAATGACTTTTATTTAGAGAAATGACTTTCTTTGTTGTACTTATTGATATATTTGTATCTGTTGAAGTACTGGAAAGCAACTTGACAGGTCTAACAGATCCAAAAAAGTCAGTTACAGGAACATCATGTGGATTTCTTTTAAACAGGTCTTTTCTTATACCAACTGTAGAAATACACACTCTCTTTGGGCATACAGTTAACTGAAATAAAATTTTTCTTCAAACATTTATAACACGCTAGGTGTAAACAGAAAAATAATGGCAGGTAAAATTTACAAGAAAAAATTCAAAATCAAATATTTTACATTAATTTAATTGTTTCTCAACAAAACATCCACGGGTAACTAGAGCTTGCTGAATCAACATAGCTATGATGATGCATTCAGTTTCTTTTTTTTCTTTCTCATTCCGTAAAAATTTAATATGGCGTCCTTAAAAAATAAGAAAGTAGTACCCGGTAGCTTCTCGACCTTGCGTGTTATGGAAATTCTGATAACAGATTCTTAAAAACATAGTGGCCATAGAGGTGCTAACGGGAACTGTTCATTTCTGACCGGTTAAGGTAGGGAAAATGAAAACGAAATTTAACATTTTCAATTTTTCGGTGATATCTCAATTATTTTCAGGTTTTTCAAAAAATTTTAACCTACACTGTATTTCTCACCATTACGGAGATCCCAATGGTTTCTGAAGTAAAGCACTTTCTAACAGAAACAATGATCCAGTAATAGTATATTATGATACAAGTGTATAAATTGACTTTGAAAGCACGCATAATATTTGAGGTATAAAGCTGTAGACAAAGTGCTCTAAATATATTGCCTTAAACTCCATACCCTATTTTTGATTATATCTCAAAAGTGATATGTGTATTGTGTATATCTGTGGTTTTAGGGTAAAATCATTCAGTACAGGAATCTTTCAACCAAAATAATAAGTCCACAGAAAAGGTTAATTCAAATTGTTCTCTAATAATAATTCTTAACAATATCTTTAAGAAATGACCAATGGAATGTTTTCATGCCTCTGCTCTCTTTTTTAAGAGTTCTGTACTCGAATAGTACAGTATGGTTTTTGACATTTTTTTCAACACCCTGTATTATATACTTACAAACTCTCCAATAGTTTTCTTGCTAAAAGGATCTACGTTTTCTAAAAACTCTAAGGCATAGTAAGTATAGCGATCAATTATGTACACTCCAATTGCCGGATCTACATGATGCTAAAAAATGCAAAATAATCCAACTGAGAAATCAAGAAATTGTAGATACCGATAAGGAGTCTTCTCCAACTAAACTACTTGCAACCGCTAAAATATTTGGCGAATAAAACTTTTCATACATAGAAGCGGCCTGGCAAGTGTCGATCATAAAAAATAATTCGTGGTATCTAAAAAGTATAAAATAATCTACACGGTCAAGATAACAAAATAGAACCTTTGCTTTTGCCACATTTGTTCTAAAGCATCAGCCATTTCTTGACTGGTTATCTCTTCTGAATCTTGAAATTTTAGAAATCCGTCTCCACCATGGCCTGTTAAATACACTAAAATGTTGCTGCCTTCATCAGTCAGCAATTGTTTAGATCGTGGTGTGCCAGGTGGCAATCGTCCTGTCAGCAATCTTACGAAGTTTTCTACAGTTACCTATATGAAAAGAAAAATTTAAAACGGAAACACAAAATCATGAATAATTTACTTCATAACCCCTATAATCCACTTCTACATCATCTCCATATACATTGATGTGCTGATTTGCATTATTAAAAACCGTTGCAGGTCGAGGATTCCTCGGATTGCACGACATATCGTCCGCGATCATGAGGATGATCTGACTGTCTGGTATACCTAAACGTTTTACGCTTCTGTAAATCGACAGCACGTTCGAAACATGACGATAATTAAACCAAAATCGGGACGTATCGACTAGTACCGCCCAGTTATTGGTGTGTTTATTTCGGAAGAAGTCGTCAATCTGAAAATAGGTAATGTTGTTAAAGGTTTTGAATTATTGTACGTACATTGTCTGTATAATTGTAACCGTAACACACAGTTATAATTACTAAGAATGTTATATTAAGTACGAAAGCATTCTTTTCGTTCATTATGAACATTGAAAAGATGAAATGAATTGTTATGTTATTATCGCAGTAATTAAGGTTAAGTTTTCCAGTAGATCTTTTGAGCTGCCGTAGAACTAATTCGGGAGTTATACAGAGTGATAGGGAAAACTTGTTCGTTCGTGAAATCCACATGATTTATAGGTTCCGGTTCCACACTACGTAGGTAAAGTTTGTATAATACAAAACTTGCGGTTACGTCACATATTGATTAATTCTATTTGACTGGATAATTGGTGCCCATTCCGTAAATGTCCGAGCAGGAGACTTTTTATCATGTAAAAGTAGACATGGGAAATTCCTATAGAGAATCCCTATGTCTACTTCTACATGAATATCACTGTATATATAGAAAGGGTCGGGTTTGAGCCACCAAAATTAATGTCAAGTCGTGAATACGATTTTAAGGTATCATGGCCCACAATAATATAGGTACATAAGTTCGGTCAGACTAATACAGTTTGTATACTAATGTAGTTTGGATACTGTAATTTCAACTTGGGGGAAAATTTCAAACCCGTTAATAAATTTCTCGTTGATATGATTAATTACAAATATAACTGTTGAAGCTACCCGTGTCAATTAGACATTGTATTCATTTTCCATTAACCTTTGCTATTAGAATCGCGAAATCGTGAAGATCCCGAATAGGTAATAAAACTCAATCCGTTTGCCGGGTTTAAAAAACATCCTGTATAGACATAGCAGTTATGAATGGTTACAACAGCATTGTAAAGTTACGAATGGCTTGCTGCAGAATGGTGACATTTACCCACAGAGTTGTATATTTACTTATATACAACTCTGTGCATTTACCCAAAACAATATTAATGTACGATGTGTTGCCTACGTACATATCTTACCTGCACAACATATTCCCGCGTAAAATCTCGATGAATGCGACCAAAATCCAGTATTTTTCCGTTTGTTCGTATGGTACGAGATATGTCAAATGTCTCTCATAGAAAATAATATAATTTTTATTAAAGTATATAATTGATTTTCTTATTAATCATTGGCAATTATTATTTATAAATACAGGAAAATCTGGTTTAATTCTTTATTAACCATTTCGCAATTAAAGTTGCTATGATTATTTCCGCCGTTCGCATCTAACCCTACAAGAATGTCAATTGTTTATATTAGTGTTTATGTTACTAATATCTAAACAATTTTTAATATTTGGTTATATGTTAGTGTTTTGAAGATTTTTCCGTTATTAATATTAACTAGGATTCTATTTTAGGAGATTCTTTCTATCAAAGTGCAGAAAAATGGGAAACATCAGCTTTCAGAAACTCTTTCTTCTACATTAACTATTAAGTAACATGTTAAAGGGAAATCAAAGGTAAGATGAGAAAGTTGCTTTGAACCAAACTGTTACCTAAGAGAACCGTTTTTCTAACATCCCGTTTTTGTAGGTGCAATGGGATTTTGCCCTCGATAACGAGTAGTATAGATGAGCACACTGAGACAAAAGAATTCAAATTTTTGTATCTACAAAATAATGAATCGAACGAGAAAATTGGCAGTAATTCCGAATTCTTTAGTAATAAAAACGCTTTAGTTACATCTCACTATGATTTACAAAATTCCGTTAGTTCTACACATGTACCAAATCAGAATGTAGAACAGAAACATTCACACAGTATTATAGGTAAGTTATTTAATTGGTTTATAAAATGCACTGCATATACTTTTCATTTCAACACTAGAAAAGCAATGTCTCAAAACACTGAGGTATTTTAAAAAACTATAGGATGGAGAATGTGAAACTAATATAGTATGTTCATAGTATTATTATCGGCACAATGTTTACATTAGGCCAAATAAGTATGTGGATTCCACAAGGCTGCATCTTGGCTCTCTTTTTCGATATTTCCTTTTTTATGTTTTAATTTTGACATTTTTAATCAAATAAATGGGCTTTTATCATAAATTGCCAGTAAAAAACAAATGAATATTGCAAAGTGAGTAAACATCCAAATTTGGTAAATTTTTTACTGGAACACCTTCTATATTTTTCAAAAATTGGATAAATCTTTTCTTTCTGATGACATTTGGTTATTTAGTTATTTATTCTGCCGTGAAAATTATTTTATTCCATTCCGTCTATAAAATGGGTTATACAGAAGAAGAAAAGGTAGAAATAGTTGGCTTATATTACAAAAATTTTTTTTAATTTATTTTATATTGCAAAAAATGTCAACATAGATATATATATATATATTTTTGAAGTCGGAAAGAAAGATATAGGCGAGGATATAGGTATTCAATTTTTGAAAAATATACAGGACGTTGAAATAAATTTTTTACTAACTGCGATATTTATTTGTTTTTTTACTTTACATTTTTTATAATGTCACAATTTTGAAAAGCGACCGCCAGAAGTACTTGAATTCTTTGATCGAAATTAAATTAATATTTTTACTTGCTCGTATTTTTATGTAGCCCATTTCATTTGGAGAACAGAACAATAAAATTTGAAAGCATGTAAAGCACGATTGAAAATGGCTATATCCTCGGCGCACTTCTTAGCCAATATCTTAATTCCCAATGGCGCACATCGATTTTCAGATCCATAGAAAAAGATTATTTCAGTTCTTTCAGTTAAGGTGTATCCGAGGGTGTATCCAGTGTTTAAATTATTTTTTAGGTTTTAAGTGAATGATTTAATTTAAGGCTAGGCGCGCACTTGGGATTTTTTGTCGCACGTTTGTTTAGTCACAAAAATAAAGCGGCGAACAATACGATTGCATGCACATGCGACGGAAAAAAGCGGAGACCAAAAAGAGCAAACGCTGAAAATACGGCGCGGCAAACTTAATGTAAAAACAAAATTTAAACTGTATTAATACAAAATAAATTTACAGAAAGTATCAGAAATTAACACAAATGTAGCTAACAAAATGATAAATGAATAAGGCAAAAAGATCTTCGGTTGAAACATTAAAGACGGAAAGATCCTCTCTAAACAACCATTAAAACTTCTTTAATTAATTGAGTGGCCTGCTGACGAAAAATCTGTACTTGGTTTTAAAATTCAAATTAATTAAAAACCTTTCTTTTCTTTGAGACCACTTACGATTTAATTGTATGCTGCCTATGCCCACTAAATTAGTTACTGTTAATTATATAGTGGAGGCCCGGTAATTAGAAAAATCTGAGGTTAGGCGTTAGGAAAACTACAGTATGTTTGTTTATAAGTGGTTTAAAACCATTACTAGTTTATTGAATTAAATACGTAACTTAAAACCTTAAAAAAATAAAAAGGACATAGGTACACAACTTATTTTTTGAAAAAGTCTTCAATAGTTTTTTTAGAACGAAAGTTGTTAGCGGATTGCCTCGAATTAAACAGAATCTCGAACCATCGAGACTCAAATTATCGCGACTCCACTGTATTCACTTAAACGTGCGAGATGAAATTTCAAAATTCATCCTTATAATGAACCCCCATTGTTTCCTGGAATTTCTCAAGTCAAGCAAAAGGTTTTATCACATCGATACCGGCGTAACTTGCACGGCGTTGCAGTTTAATGCTAGTTTTAAATTAAAATAGGAAACGGAAATCATTGGGATGGGACTGAAATTCTAAAATATTAATTTGCCTCCGTCTTCTAAATGACAAGAACGCAACAAAGATAATTGAAATATCTTGACGAGAACGATTGCAAACGGCGCATTAATTACAGTTTTTTTACGGTAACGGCGATGGAAACACAACTAATCAATTACCTTCTATCTTGAACTCTTAAAACCAAGGTAAATACTTTCGGCACAGTACTTTTCGTAATGAAGCGCCTCCAGATACTGGGTGTTCACGTACCGGGTGGTTATGAAAGTATGTAAACTTCAAGGCGGAAAATAGATGCTTCGTTACACAGAGGCAATTGAGACAAGTCCAGATTTGCATAGCGCGCGTCTTGGAATACAGAACTTTAAAAAAAGTACTTGCATAAAATAAAATAAACGTGTTACAGGTACGAGTAATGAGTACTTTATACTTTTTGACGCATCATATGTGTCAATGGAAATAAAGAGTATTATTATGGTCGGTGTCTCTTGTGAGAACTCAGGTCTAGCCTGGTTAACTAATTGCACGGATTAAAATCAAGTAACGATTAGTGTCTTATTATTATTATTATTTAAAATGTACTCGAGTATAGGGTATTAGAGTACGTGTACACAAGCACTAGGGGGAAACAAGTACAAAAATTCAAATTCAAATTAATTCACCTTAATTCACGTTAATTCACCTTAATTCACGTTAATTCACATTAATTCACGTTAATTTGTACATCAAAAATTCAAAGTTGTTTCCCCCTAGTACAAGTACAGGGTCCGGCAATGAAACCAGAAGATTTGGGGTGGGGCTTGCAGCGGGCGGTGAAGTGGTAGGGAGGACAGTCACAGACCTGTCGGGACCCGAGTGGCTTGCCATTTAGTCTACAATGGAGCGTTGGACGGGGGAGCATCGCGGTTACGCAATTAAGGCTTATTACCAAAATGGCGAGAGTTTAATGCAAACGCGTCGAGAACTTCCAGGCTCGACTCCATGAATGCATACGTGTCAACGGAGGCCATTTGACAGATGTAATTTTCAAAAAATAATGTTTTTTAACATTGTATATCAAATGGCTACTCTTTTATTTCCCAGTATGGTATTACTAATTACAAAAAAAATATTTTTTCGATAATAAAATTATTTACGAAATCTTCCCGTTTCATTGCCGAACCCTGTACTTCTCCAGGGCACGTACCGGTCATGGCAAATTCACCGGAAAAAGTGTAGAGGCCCCAAGGACAGTATTTTGAAGAATTTTAAGTGTGTGCAAATCTGTTCAATAAATGACTTTAAAAAAAATAAATGCATTACTTTTTGAACACACTCTGTAAATCTTTATTGCTTTTCATTAAGCCGAAAATAAAAGCACAACCCTCTATGATAAAAATATTTTTCTAGTTCAAATATTTAATGGTTTGTTGGTACGTGAATGTAGATGAGATTCTAAATTAGTTTAGATGAATAAAACATACCTATGTCTTCCACAAGCCACATGTTGGTTAAAGTCTCCACTGTTTTGTTAGTATAGTATAGGGTTGCCATCCGTCCAGATTTCCCCGGATTTGTCCTAGTGTAGGGGGCGTCCGGGGAGCGTCCGGACTGGTTTTCAATGGTAGTCCGGGTTTTGAGGTACTGAGTGGGTGAATTAAAAATCTTTCTGTCAAAATTTAAGCCAACAAGATAAGCTTTCAAGCGCAAATCAGCTTTGGTAACAATTTTTTAAAACACCTAATGCTTATTTATAGGTAGGTACTCGGAGTTATTGAAAATTGCACTACTTTTTGCATTCCTGCTCATAATGACAACGCTGAAAGAATATTTTCACTAGTGGCACAACAGTGGACAAAATAAAGGAATGTATTGAATATTGAAACAGTCTTTTGGAGTTCTTTTAAAAAGCGAAAGTCAAATAAAGTAGAAAACACTTTAATGAATACAAGTGAGCAAAAATATGGAAAAAGTAATGACCAAAATGAAATACAGGGTGATTCCTATAGTACCTGCCACCGTTTGGGAGCGTGTAGGTGGTGCGTAGGGGAGTATTTTGATATAGGACACTTGGGGTCGGAAATCTAAAATAAGGGTGCCAGAGCCAAATTTACCTTCTGGAATTTCGCGCCTGTAGGTAGGCAACCCAACCGGCCGGCGGTGCACACGGAGCGATCTCAGGCGGCGATGTGTGGCTGACACTTGATCAGAATTTTGTTTAAACCCACGAAATCCCGTCTGCAACGACGCGTATCAAGTGAATAAACACTATGGCAATAGTATAATAATAGTTGGCTAGATGTAGGAAGTGCATTGAGAACAACGGTGGCCACGTTGAACACTTGTAAACGTTATTGCTTTTGACTGTCGTTTTCCCTCCTTCCCTCCCATGTCGCTTCCTCGCGCTAACTCGCTCTGCATCGCTCCGCGCGAAACGTCGGTCGGTTGGGTTGCCTACATACAGGCGTGAAATTCCAGAAGATAAATTTGGTTCTGGCGCCCTTATTTTAGATTTCCGACCCCAAGTGTCCTATATCAAAATACTCCCCTAGGCACCCCCTATACGCTCCCAAACGGTGGCAGGTACTATAGGAATCACCCTGTAGATTCAATAAGCGATTTTTGTGTTACTACAACTAACTATTCATGGCAACTAAAAACAACTCATATAAAATGTTTAGGGAACTATTTACTTTTCAGGTCTTCGGTATTTATCCGAATTTCCAATAGCGTTTAGAATATCTTCCTTACTTAAAAGAAATTTATAAAAATCTACACAATTATAATCTTTGAAATTGTACTTTATTTTTATCACTGACGAGACAGTAATGACTACATTACTACCTAATTTTACAATAATTAAAACTAAATCAAGGGGTTAAGGAAAGCAGGAATTTTCAAATATCTCAACACAGTCTCGTCAGTGATATAAATAAAGTACAATTTCAAAGATTATAATTGTGTAGATTTTTATAAATTTCTTTTAAGTAAGAAAGATATTCTAAACGCTATTGGAGACGGATAAATACCGAAGACCTGAAAAGTAAATAGTTTCCTAAACATTTTATTTTACTAAAAGACCAAATTTTTGTTTCATTTAAAAATTACTGTTATTAGCTTCTTATAACTTTTATTTTATTTTGTTAAAAAAAGTATATTATTGCTTCATTTAAAGAATTTAAAAAGATAAGCCGTTGCTGATTCCTAACAGTTAAAGAAGATTTTGTTTCATGATGGAGTACGCCTTGTTTTATTTAGAAAAATTAATTGTTTGTTTTATTTCTTTAGAAAATATTTTTTATCAAATTCAGTTGATATGTCTGGGTTTATAATCCCTAAATCCTGGGTTTTCACGCTTCCTGTCCTAGTTGGTAGAGTTTTGAGATGGCAACCCTAGTATAGTATAGACTAAATACTAGAAAGTTACACCATACAATATGTATAAGTTAATTGTCCATTTTACAGTACCTACTTGCTTATGTATCAATTTGTTTGCAGGTTTAAGTAAAAAAATTGATAATAAAATAAATAGTTTAAAATCTTCTTCAAAACATCGATTGAAGCATAATGCCAGTACTTACCACGAGTCATTACAACGGATAGGTGGTGGCGATGCTTGCTATAATCATTACCAACAACAGTGGTTCAGTAGTAGTTTAGAGGTAATGTATTTTTTCATTTCTCTTATTTACGAATTTCTTCAATCTGATAATTCAACAACAATAATAAATTATTGTTACAGCGATTAAAATTAGAAGACAAATCACGTGAAGAACGCTTAGAAATTACAAGGTACGAACTGCAAAGGCACTTGAAACAAATTTTACGGAGTAATCTGGGAAGGTGGGATCTTCACGTTGACAATTTGTCGAATAGGCGGACATGTAGTTCACACCAAGTGTGTCATACGAATTTGGGATATAATAAATTAGTGTCGCCGCGTTACTGTTGTGTTGATAAATGTTGTCGACAGGCGTTGCCCTGTTCAAAGTATTGCACGCTGCATATCATGAGTAATTCTGATCAAGTTCTCTTCAATTACTGTACAGCTAAGTTTGCCGATAATACGCAATGCTCCGTTCCAGTTTTGGATATCACTCATGAACTTCCATTATGTACAGAACACGCAAGGAAAAGGGTAAGTTTTATTCTTTTAAGTAATTTTCTCAACATTTTTCATTTCTTTTACATAATTTCTTTCGCTTCTTTCTTAACGGTAATAATTGTCTTAAGAATGGAAATGAGATTAATAAAAGATATGCGAATATAGAGATTGCAATAAAAGAAACTGTAAGCTGGACATAGCAAAAATTAAAAAAAGTTTGAAGAAAAATACAGAGTTAGTAAAGGGAAAGGTAAGAATTTTAGGGGTTGATTATATGTATTAGAAGTATGGCTTTTGTAAGCAATGTAAAGAAGCTAAAACAAAAACATCAAGCGATCACAATAAAATTTAAAAACGCGCGAAATACCTTTCGACATCTAACCAACAACTTGAGTTTTAGAAAGTACCTATACATCTTATTCTATTTATACACATTCCTCCTGAAAGTTTAAGTTTGCAAGTTCTAAATGACAAAATTGGCCCCTGATCATTATTTATTAGGAAGCGTTTGTTCTATCTAATTCACAGTTACAACTTTCTTAACTAAAGAAATATCTTCTGTATGGTTATTTTTATGAATATGTGCAGCAACGCTAGATTTACTTTGAATTGACCAGGAGGTTTCATAAGAACCCAAGGTTTTTTAATGCAGCAGTGAGCGGGATTTTACATTCTGTCAAAAACAATCTGCTGATGCAACTTAGGGCAGAGGACATATATTTACCCACACTTTTATGTATAAGTAACAATCTGGTACTAATATAAGGAGTTAATTTTTCATATTTGGATGATCAGACGGTCTGTTTTATTTATATAAAGTTAAGCCCCGCTCATTCATGCACTCAAAACGCTTGATAGCTCATGAGAAGGTCGTTTCACGCAAGCCCCAGGTATAAACAATTGTGTTTAAAGTAAGCCATGTATTATGAGTGATCTTGTATATATGAGTATGTACACTTGATTACAATATGTACAGCTTATATTGTATATTCCCAATATATCTTTCATTTACATGGGAACTTTGGGTTATGAATTACTTTGTAAATCTCTATGAGGGATAATTATGTAATTTAACACATTTGTTTACTAGAACATTTTGTTAATATGGTTACATTGTTTAATTTGTGTTCTTAATAATAATAATAATTAGACCATATTTACAAGAAAAGAAAAAAAATATTCCATATAGTGAAGAAAAGGTGTAAACGATGTAGTTCAGGGACGGATGAGTTACTCTCCTGCTCTTCCACCCAATCGACTTATGTTTCCTAATGTTGTGGTACCACCTTTGTTGCTCTATTCTGTATACAGGACCGCTGATAAATCTGGAAACGGTCTACTATCGGGGAAGACAACAAAAGAGTTTTATGCAATAGTTTTGTATAAATAATTATTCAAGGTTGGTCATAAAGGTGTGGCCGAGAGTGTGGCACACCCAAATTGAATTTTTTTAAATGAAACACTGTACATGATTTGATATTTCAATTCTTCTCTCAATTTTAACCAAAATTTGTAACAAGCACAATGTATCTAAATTCGATCGTTTCCTGATTATCGAGTTTTGAAAATAAACATTTTTGTTTGAAAAAAACAACCAACAATTAATGAGATCACGAATTTTTTTTGAAAACATTCTATAGTTCTGAAAAGAACTGTTTGCGAAGTTTGTTATGATTATTTGGAACCATTGTATTGTTCTTTATTCAATGGAAAAGTTTCCAGTTTTTTATTGTAAATTAATTATGAAAATTTAAGTAAAGTGAAACAAAAATGCGAAAGAATCATTAAAATACCTTCACAAATGAAAAATTTACAAGACCTTAAAGTTGCGCTTGGAAATATAATTACATTTCCGCGTGTAACGTCATGTGACCTATTCGCATACGATGCATATTCGTTCTCTTAGTATGTGCACGGTTGCTTATTGGTGCGACGTAACAGCAGGACTCGATTAGGCCAAATGGCGTCGCAGGCAGTACTGTGTTGCGCACTGAATAAGTATGCGTAAGTAATATATTGCCCAGTCATTTATTGATGGATTTTAATTTTGTTTTAACTAGTTTATTAGTTATGATCTGTATTTTAATGTCATTAGGTTAAATATTGTATTATCAACACTTGTTCATTATTAATAAATTTTAAAATAATAACGTTTATTTTCAAATCGATAGTAACCAATTGAATTTACGTACAGTATATTTCAAATGAAAGAAGAATTGAAATCTTGAATAATGTACAGAGTGTTCCATTTCAAAAAATGCAATTTTGGTGTGCCACACTGGTACCGAAAAGAACTGCTACCTGAACCGGAACCTATTGCATTTATAAGCCCCTCACTTGGAACTGGAACTGTTATTCAGGAAGGTATGATAACGGGAACGGATATCGGTACCGTTATTTTTTGGTGCTTATGTAGAGTAAACACGTTACTCTCTGTGAGAGGGAAAACCGTTTTATATTTTAATTTGGTATTGGCGTTAAAAACTTTACTTAGATGTAACATTAGTGGTTTATTGGTTATTATTATTAATGACTAGCTGACCCGGCAGACGTTGTCCTGCCCGAACGCTGACTTGCCTACTAATGGGGGTTAGGACTTCAGAATTTGTGATACCAATTCTGTAGGTTTGAGTTCAGATGACCCAACAGTCAATGCACGACAGAACCCGAAAGAGAGACGAACGTATACGAGAATGAATCACACTACAGATATCACTTGAGCTGTGCACTTGGCCTTGGCGTAGTTTTAGTCTTTGCTTGTTAGTGTGCATTGGAAATATGGACCGATTTTGCGGTATTTGTGGGGCACGTAGGCAGATGGAATTCGATTCTATATTGGGTATGTCAAACTATATCATGTGTATATGCCTATAGCAATATATTATTGTTCTTTATAGAAACGTGTACGAAATGCAACAAAGCACCATTTATTTCGTCGTATGAAATGAAGTCAACAGCAGTATTGCGAGATTTGCGGCCATACCGTGGAGAACAGCAAGCAATAGAAAGATTGAAGAAACAGCGAACGCAGTCCACTTCAAGTGAAATTGTGTCAATTTCGCCGTCAAAATTTTCAACATCTTCAACACAATCCCTATGGTTATGGTGTGACGATGATATAGATCGCGCCTTATCGTAAATAGCATATGCCGATTCCGACAATGCGGACGAAAAAGAACGAAGGGAAGAAGAGCAGAAAATAAGGGAAACGAAATAGACGTAGCAACAGAAAACGATATAAACGTAGAAAATGTTTAAAGTGTATTATTAAGTATACCTATCTATTATGTAATACAGTAAGAAATATAATTTTATTCATGTAAGTATTATTTTCATTTTCATTACTACTTTTATAAGAATATCACTTTTAATATAGTTATAGTTAATAATGATGTAATAATATTTTTTAACTGTTTATCTGAACCACAATTAACCTACATTACTTCCTGTGACATCCGAATTTTCTTCATTGCAATGCTTTATGATACACGACATTTTTTGTTCTGTTGTCTGGCGCGTAAACAAATAAAGCTGATGGTTTCCGCGTCGGGACGCGGGAACAGGCAACATACAATTGACGTGGATGTTCAAGGTTAATGCCGCAAACACTTAACGACTGTCCTTGTGACTTGTTTATCGTCATAGTGAATGCAAGACGCACCGGAAACTGCAAGCGTTTAAAATCGAATGGCATGTCGGTCGAAATCATTGGAATGCGAGGTATCAAAACGTGTTCTCCTTTGTACTTTCCTTGAAGAATTCTTGCTTCGATGATGTTGTTCATCAGTCTCTTCACCGCAAGACGGGTGCCATTACAAAGACGTGGTTGGTTGATATTTCGCAACATTATGATTATCGATCCGACTTTTAATTGGAGATTATGAGGCGGCAATCCGGGCAGCTCCAGCGAGTTTAAAAATTCGGTTGGATAGTTGACGATATCATCTTCCTTAGTAATGGAATCTATCGATTTGTATGTCATCAATTCGCCAGCAATTTCACTTTGAATTTTGAAGTTCAATTCGTTGACATCAATGGTTTTGGCAGCCAATATAGCACGGTTACTCAACCAATCATGATTTCTGTAATTTTGAGCAATGTTTGGGTACACCTTTTGGATTGGAGTTCGGTCTTCGACTCGGTGAACTGACAAAAATTTACGGGAAATGTAATGCTTCGAGTTCGTCTTCGTGACTCGGTGAAATGAAATTTACGGGATTACGGGAAATGTTAAATGCAACCAGTCGAAATATCAACGGGGATGTTGCCATTGCCAATGTCCAACAATTGTTTTGAAAATAATTCTCCAGCTTGATCGTTCTGCAACACGACACGCATGTTCATATTTAATTTGAGAACCTTGACGTGTTTCCACCAAACGGACGACTTCAAACATGCATTAAGTTCATAGGCTGGCGTTGACCGTGGAATCACCGGTAATGTTTGACGAAAATCACCTGCTAAAAGAATCATCGCTCCACCAAACCGGTGTTGATTGTTTCGTAGATCTTGCATTGTTCGGTCTAATGCCTCTAAAGACTTTTTATGCGCCATTGTACATTCATCCCAAACGATCAACTTGCATTGCTGCAATACTTTGGACATCGCACAGTTTTTCGAAAGGTTGCACGTTGGTGTTTCAATGATTTGCATATTCAACGGCAACTTGAGAGCCGAATGAGCTGTTCGACCGCCTTCCAACAACGTAGCTGCAATTCCTGATGAAGCAAGTGCAACTGCAATTTCATTCTGGGGGCGAATCGTTGCCAAAATCAACGCGATCAAAAACGTTTTTCCAGTTCCACCAGGAGCGTCTAAGAAGAAAATCCCTCCAGTCCCATCGTTCGCAACTTTCATAAGAGTGTCGTATGCATATTTCTGTTCTTGATTCAACAGCGGAACATTTGTTCGAACGGACTCTATCAACACATCGTAGTCATATTGCCTTTCGCGTGTCAGCTCCTGATTAAATGCGTCGTGCATCGGACGATTGGGCGCTGTGATGCCTAATTGCGCTAGTACCTTGTTC